ACTCCGTGTACATAGAAACTCGCACTTTCCGCCCACGTGCATTGGCGCGTAGTGGAGCGCCTCAATGCTCATGCAGTCTTGAGAGCCGAGCCCTCCGCCCCAAGAGGACCCCAGAGACTGCTAGAAGGCGCCATCGATGCCCCGAAGCGGAAGCCGAGATTCTCCGCGGATGCCCCAAGCCTGCCTCCCTGAGACCCCCGAGAGCATCCGAAGAGACCCCAACCAGCATCCACGAAGCCCCCCGACCTACACCCCCGGGAGCAGTGGCGAGAGGCCACTGGAACTCCGCCGCCCCCTGCGGCTAGCCACAGGGCAGCACGGCCTGTGCCGAGTGTCTGGCGCATGTTTGGCTCGTTCCTGTAAGGAACTGCTTCCAGTGGGGTCTCGGCCGTTCCCGCCGGCCACCCGGGGAAGTCCGGGAGAAGTCGGTATCCGCTGGCCCGATCGCCTCCAAAACGACCAGGATGGCCCAAGGCGGCATCCAAGATCCTCCAAAGCGGGCAGGATGGCCCCAAGAGGGCCCAGCACAGCCCCAAGATGGCCTTCAAGACGGTACCAAGGCGCCTCCGAGACCAACAAGATGGTCTAAGAGAGCCCAAGGCGGCCCAAGAAGCGCCCAAGAGGCCCCTAAAACGGCCCAAGATGCCTCCAAGAGGTCCTCCACACAAGGCCCGAAGATGTAAAAATCATTGATTGTCCTTAGGTGTTTGAAAGATGTGTGCATTTGCTTCAAGACGGCCTTCCGACGGCCCAAGACGGCCCCAAAGATTGCCCAAAATATTGCCCCAAGATCGCCCAAGAGGCCTCCAAGATGGCCCCAGGACAGTCAAACAGGCTCCCAAGACGGCCCCCAAAGGGCCCCAAGACGTGCCAAGAGGCCACCAAGACGCTCAAGATGGCCTTCAAGACGGCCCTGAAGCGCCCCAAGAGGTCCCCAAGACAGCCGACATGCTCCCAAGACGGTTTCCGACGGCATCGGATGGGCCATTAACACCGTAAGGCGACCAAAAAGGCCCTCAAGATTCCCCCAAAGGCCCCAAAGCTCAAGGAGGCAAGAATGACCCAATAATCTCAATAGATCTCCTCGTCCTTCTCCTTTTCCTCATGTTCCCTCCCTCTCCCCTCCTCCTCTTCCTCCCCCACGTGTTCCCCGAAGGGCTTCGGCAACGGCTGGGGGAACACATGGTCCAATAGCGTGGCCAAACTTGCCCAAAAAGTTTGGCCACATAGGCGTATCCTAACAGGCAAAAGGGCGGAGGTGGTGATTCGCCATAGGCGTCTTCGATTGGACATATTGGAAGATGTGGAACAACTTCAATAGCATATGGAATATCAGGTATCTTCCTCCTCCTCCTCCTCCTCATCCTCATCATCCTTATCATCATCATCATCATCATCATCATCATCATCATCATCATCATCATCCTTATCATCGTCATCATCATCATCATCATCATCATCATCATCAGAATCATCATCCTCATCATCATCAGCAGCAGCATCATCAGCATGATCATCATCATCATCATCAGCATCAGCAGCAGCATCATCATCCTCATCCTCATCCTCATCCTGATCCTGATCCTCCTCCTCCTCCTCATCATCATCATCCTCCTCATCCTCCTCCTCCTGCTCCTCCTGCTCCTCCTCCTGTTCCTCCAGCCGAACTGCCGAACCGAGGGCGCAAGAGACTGTCAGACGCCGCCCTGGGGGGCTGATCAAGCTAAAAGCCAGGCGACTCCTGGAGCGTCCGCTCCAGGAGTCGTCGGCTCGCAGGAAGCGGGGGCAATCGTGACAGACTGATCCTCGAGGAGCTGGCTGGTGCTCCTCCTGCTCCTCCTCCTGCTCCTCCTCTTCCTCCTCCTACTCCTCCTCCTCCTCCTCCTCCTCCTCCTCCTCACCATCCAGCTCCTCGAAGGTAAATCTGTCACGATTGCCCCCGTTTCACCGTGCACTGCCGGACACCGCGCGAGGATGCTTCACAGCTGGCCGCCGAGCAGAAACAGAGGGCGGGGAGCGTAAAACGAAGACAGGACGAGGAAAGATTCGGACGAGGGTGGTAAATGGGGACTCTTTGCAGGTTCGCGCGACGTCGGCGCGCGCAAAGGCTTTTTGACACCACGTCGATCGTTCAACATTGAATCGATCGCGGCCCCGACCGTTCGAGCTTGAATTCCGTCGGGTCCAATAGCGTCACCGTGTCCCTCGGTGCTTCCGCGTCGCAGACTTCAACCTTGAACATCTTCGCCGACGTCGCCGGCGCTCCAACGCTGCATGAACCTACAGATAGTTCTAGGATCGGCACTGGGCCGATCCAAGACAGTCCGCGCGAATCTCCGAATGTTCATGCGTACGCCGTGTCGTCTCTTCCCTGTCGACCGAGAGCGGGCGGGTCTGAAAAGGCATCGGGCGCTGCGGCCATTCCAGAGCGCTCCAGGACGCTGCGAGGGCGTTCCGGGACGATCTGGAGCGATCTGTCCTCATCCTACTGCCCTCGTCAAAATTGACCTCAAACATGTGTTGCATATCCAACTTGAGCTTGTGTGTGTTTCTGGAGTGGCTGGCGCTGAACGCGCCGTACTTCTTAGCGCGCCCCCATCACAAAGTCAGAGACAGACGACTCACAGCCGCTCCCGCAAAGCGGTGAGATAAGGCTGGCAGTGTCTTTTGCCCACGCGCTCCGGCGTATGGCACTTCGTTCGTCTATCGAACTTTCGACCCGACACTTCTGAACGATCAAGTGCCCCCCTGTCACGACGTTGCTGGGCGTGCCGACATTGAAGGAGTGCCCCGACATTGAAGGGGCGTGGCCGACATGTCTGAGGTTGAGTTTGTCGAGGGTTGCAGTTGGCATGAAGAAAGTGAGCCCTGAGGGGGACGGGTCCTGGACGGGAACCCATAAGGCCTTCCCCCCGGGCCAGCTCTTCATCCTGAGTCGCTTCTGACATTCTGTTGCATCCTCGGGGGGCCTTGTCTGTCCCGTCGCGTTCCTATCCGCGTCGAATCCGTGCCGAATCCATGTCGGACTCGTCGGATCCGTGTCGAATCCGTGTCGAATACGCGTCGAATCCACGCCAAATCGGCGTCGAGTCCGCATCGAGTCCACGTCGGGCACAAGAGAAGACACCAATTTGGGGAACAGGCGACGTCTCCAGAAAATGCAACGCAACTGACGGTCCCGGGGCCCGTGGAGGGCCCCAGGAGCCCGAAAACTACGAAAGACCTCAGGACCCGTTTCCCTCAGAACCCGCCTCCCTCATGGCGACCTCGGCCTTCCTGAGAGAGCGGCCAAGAGAGGGGTGTCCAAGAGGGGGGGGTGCAAATCATGACCGGCGGCATGTGCGCGGCCCAGCGGGGGGGCCAGGGACACAATGGAATAAGAAGAGGCGCCATGAAATCTGAGGAAATATCATGGCCCCCGCCATGATATCCACCCCCCCCCTAGTCATCACCCCCCTCTTTGCCGCTCCCGAGAGAGCGCCCCTCCTTGAGGTACGTGCCGGAGCGGACCTCGAAGCTGGCCGGGTCGAAGGCCGTCCAGGAGTGCGGGTGGTCTCCGCGCGGGAACCTCGGCCGAGAGAGCGCACTGCGCGCCCAAAGGCGGTGCTGGCACGCCGGGTCACCGCCATCGCGCGGCACGTGCGGGGAAGTCGTCGACGGCGGATCACTCCTCCTCCTCCTCCTCCTCCTCCTCCTCCTCCTCCTCCTCCTCCTCCTCCTCCTCCTCCTACGAGCAAGTGCCATCCAGTCAGTCTGGCCTACATGTCTCCATACGTGTCGTGTGTCTCTCGCGTGCCCTCCCCCCTCGTGTGGGCGGGTGGGGCCGCGCCTCGGTCACCGCACCGGGGCGGGAAAGTGATGTGGGACAGATGTGAAGAAACCCTCCTCCTCCTCCTCCTCCTCCCCCTCCTCCTCCTCCTCCTCCTCCTCCTCCTCCTCCAGATTGCCTTTCCTCCCCCCAAAAAACAAGATCATGACGAAATTGAGGGCAGTATATGAAGGAGAGAATACACGTAATGAGTGAATCACGGCGACTGCGACTGTCGCTGTATGTCAGAAGTGGATTCGATCCTGTGTAGCTGTCATTTGGTTGTTGTTGCGTTGGTCATGGGTGCGCTCCTAGGTCTGGCGTTCGCTTGAAACACAGGTTTGACTCTGGCGTTGCTGTTACGGTTCCTCCGTCCGAATATGTGGCATTGCTCTCCGTGATAGCGCTCGGTTAAGATTCAGCCGCAGATCTGGCTTCAGTAGAAGACAGTATTGTCTTTAGCGCTATCTGTCTGTAGCTTAACAGCTTAGCAAGCATAGCTGCGTTTAGCTTTGGCTCCAGCTGTAGATCTGGCTGTAATTTTAGCTTTGGACTTAGCTCAGCAATAGCACCGAGCCCCGCTATAGCCTGAGCCTTAGCATTCGTCTGATATCTTGCCTTACCCTGGGTCTTCAGCGTGTTCCTCAGCATGTCTCCTGGGCCTTAGCATTTACATCGGCCTTAGCCTTAGGGTGTTCCTCAACATGTAAACGTGCGCCTTCATATCTGCCCGTAAACAGAATGATAATATTAGCTTGAGCTTGCATATCGATGTCATAGTGGCAGCTTCGATTGCAAGCCTAGCTTTAACTCTGAAGTGGCCGTTCGACACCGCGACACCACCACGCATTTACACCGCGACCGTCAACCCAAACCACGTCATCGCAACACCACGACGCTACGATCACACGGTGACACTGCGACACCAAGACATCAAAGTACCGAATAACAACACTGCGACATGGTGGCACGACGACACTCGCGCGTAAGTCTGCACGCAAGTCACCCAGCACGAAACGCGAACCCTCGACTTCGCGGTCAGGCGTGACTCACAGCGGCTGACAAACCCTGAAACGTCCTGCTCGAAGCGTCGCCAGTCTACAGCTTGGGGAGGCATCGTGAACATCCTCGCTGGAGGTGGCCCGCTGGTGGTGGGTGGTGTCGCTTCTTGTTCCTCCGATGGAGAGTTCTGGAACAGGGTTCGCCTGGACTGCCATGGACCCGTCCGCCTGACTCCCCTGGGCTAGCCATTTCAGTCCCAGAAGGAGGAAGAATCACTGCTCATCTCACCTCATCCTCCTCCTCCCCCTCCTCCTCCTGCTCTTCCTCCTGGTCCTCCTCCTCCTCCTCTCCTCCTCCTTTCCTCCTCCTCCTCCTCCTCCTCCTCCTCCCCCTCCTCCTCCTCATCCTCCGGGATCAGAGGACTTCCGACGACGCGTTCGAGACCGTGGGCGACTACGCTAGCGATGCGGATTCTTGTGCTGCATGCCCCACTGCTGCTGTACATTCGGGAAGGGCCGTTATGATGGCCAGGACCCCAAGCGGTGGGAGGAGTGGTCCGCGCGGGTCGTGCAGCCCAGGTGGCGGGAGGAGTGGCCAGAACCTCATCCCCTGCTGGCTCAGCAGAAGGCGTGAAGCGCGCGCATTCCCCGACGTCGGGAAGGGCCCAGGCAGCGAGCGGAGCTGCCGAGGCCAGGACCCAGGTGGTGGGAGGAGGGGTCCCCGCGGGTTGTTAGGCCCAGGTGGCGGGAGGAGCGGCCACAACCTCACGCCCTGTAGGCGCTGCAAGTGTCGTGAAACGCGTGCATTCCCCGACGTCGGGAAGGGCCCAGGTGGAGGGAGGAGAGGCCGTGGCCCAGGTGGTGGGAGGAGTGGCCGAGCGCCCTGCCCAGGTGGTGGGTGGAGGGGCAGGCGTGCATACCCCGAATAGTTTCTCTTACCATACTGTCAGAGCGGTAACTTGGCCACGCCTTTACCTGGAGTGTCGGCTGCAGCCTGCCAGTGGCGGTTGGAGCCTCCTGCATTGGAGCTACCTCGATGGCGCCGCTGATGCTGGGGCTGCCTTGCAGGACAGCTTGGCCCGCGCCGCTCGCCTCTCCTTGCGCGGCAAGCGCTGGACGGCCATGGTGTTCGAGATCCGCGAGAGGGTGAAGGGGCTGCGTCCTCACCTACCCCCACTCCGCTTCCCGCGGTTCTACAACCGCCACGAGCCACTCTGCAAGTGCGAGTCGTGCATGAAGAGGGTCACCGCGAAGTCCGATGCTGTTCATGAGTCAGCGGATTACGGACGTCAACGGGCTTCTGGCATCCGTCGTGGTCGCCGTCTCCGCAAGCAGGGGGGCCCGCGGGCAGACGCGACGGAGCAGGGCCAGAGGGGCCGCCGCGGCTCACGGCGTCGACGTGAGCTAGCGGAGCCGCCTCCTTTCCCCCCCCCCTCTTCCTCTTTCGCCTCCCCTCAGTCTCCCTCGGGCCTCGGTGCGAGAGTGGCGACGGGCGGCCCGTGAAGTACTAAAGATTCCTCCTCCTCCTCCTCCTGATCCTCCTGATCCTCTTGATCCTCCTGATCCTCCTGATCCTCCTGATCCTCCTCCTCCTGATCCTCCTCCTCCTGATGCTCCTCCTCTTGATCCTCCTGATCCTCCTGATCCTCCTGATCCTCCTGATCCTCCTGATCCTCCTCCTCCTCCCCTCCTGATGCTGATCCTCCTCCTCCTCCTCCCCCTCTTCCTCATCCTTCTCCTCCTCCTTCTAAAAGTTCCTCCTGTCGCACGCCGAGACGTGTCAGTAAGGCGGGCTGGGCGCTTCGCCTGAGACAGCCTCACAATGTGTGACCCTGAAGCCTGAAATCCGCAAGAGCTCACGGATGGAGGGCGGGCCGCTCTCGAAATCAGGCTCTCGCCTTGGCGCCGCGCACATTCCTTTTGAATGTCACGGATGGAGAGCGGGTGTTTCTCAAAGTATGGCCCTCGCCTCCGCGCCGCGCACATTCCTTTTGAATGTCACGGATGGAGAGCGGGTGTTTCTCAAAGTATGGCCCTCGCCTCCGCGCCGCGCACCCTCGTCTTAAAAAAAAAAAAAAAAAAAACACGGCTGGGGCTGCCAGGGTGGAGGGCGGGCCGTCTTCAAGACGGCGCTCTCGCCCGAGCGCCGCGCACCGCCGCTCTCAAACCCTTGCGGGGGTCTCGCGGATGGAGGGCGGGCCGTCTTCAAGACGGCGCTCTCGCCCGAGCGCCGCGCACCGCCGCTCTCAAACCCTTGCGGGGGTCTCGCGGATGGAGGGCGGGCCGTCTTCAAAACGGCGCTCTCGCCCGAGCGCCGCGCACCGCCGCTCTCAAACCCTTGCGGGGGTCTCGCGGATGGAGGGCGGGCCGTCTTCAAAACGGCGCTCTCGCCCGAGCGCCGCGCACGGCCGCTCTCAAACCCTTGCGGGGGTCTCGCGGATGGAGGGCGGGCCGGCTGTGAAGTGAGGACCTCGAGCATCAGCGCCGCGCGCGCCGGGCTTCGAGGCAGCTGCCGGAGCTCCACGAGCCGAGGGCGGGGGTCCGTTTTTCCACCGCGGTTTCGCTCTCGCCTCCGCGCCGCGCGCAGGTTCGTGTTGACATGTCGCACAAGAGCTCTCCACGGATGGAGGGCGGCTATTCTTTTTTTTTTTTTTTTTTTTTCCTGCTCCCCTGCTTGTTTGCCTTGGAAAAAAAAAAAATGGAGGGCGGCTGTTCTTCAGAAAGTGGCTCTCGCCTGAGCGCCGCGCACATTCGTCTTGAAACAGTGCAGGGAGATTCGAGGATGCTCACGGCTGGCTTTCCCAGAGGTCGGGCGCAACAGTTACGTTGACTCTCGAGGTGTTGAAGTCCCTGGAACGGCGTTCTCTGGCACAATTCAGGATCGTCGAGACGCAGCAATGAGGTTGATTCGTGGCGATGGAATTCCAGGAATGGTGCTCTGGCACGGTTAAGCATGTTGCAACGGTTGTCTTCCAACGGGGCACTTCCTTCATTGGAAATGAATCCTTGCAGGGGCCCATGAGGAGGAAGCATGGGGGGGGGGCTGATTGCAACATCGTTGATGGATCTTGGGTTTACACTGGTCCTCCTCCCCCTCCTCCTCGTCCTGCCTCCTCCTCCTCCTCTTTCCTCCTGCCTCCTCCTCCTACTCTTCCTCCTCCTCCTCCTCCTCCTCCTCCTCCTCCTCCTGCTCATCCTACTCCCTCTGTGTCCTGCTAACACCACCACACCCGCCCCCAGCATCAGCATCAGCACCGGCAAGCAACATCCTCAACACATACGCATCAGCATCAGCACCAGGGCATCGCCATCCTCAGCATCAGAGCCATCGCTGCTCTGCCACCTTCGAACCCGCGACTTTGGAAGCCTGGGAATGGTACGGAAAACATGGATACAATACCAAATACCAAATGCTATCTGAAACCGACAGCGGCCGCTGTTGGGTAGGCGGCCTTCTGTCTCAAAGGGACAACGTCCGCGGCGACCGAGCACTATTCAAAATGAACCAGAAGTGCTGTCGGTCTTTGTGCTAATTCTTTCCGTAGCCATCTCGATCAGGGAGACGAGAGACTCACGTTCGGGGAACTCGGGCTGACCTGATGGGGCCGTCAGAAAAATACCGAGACCCGGTCTGAAACTTGAAGCGAACTCCCGCTGCGGACATCCCACGAAACTCGGGCCGTCAAAATCCAGGGCGGGCTCGTCAAGAGGGGTAAGCAAACCCGAGCTTCGCCGTACACTTCGGTCGGAAGAAGCGGGTAGAACCATGAAGTAGGAAGGCGTTGGAAATAGATTGGGGTTCCGCACGCCCCCTGAGGAGGAAGGAAAAGGACAAACCGCTGGACTCCTGAAGCAGGCAGGCGCCCAAAGCAGGGTGGGCCTCGGGCGCCCCAAAAAACGGCTTCTTCAACGACCGGCGCGCCCTCGAGTCGTACGCGGTTCCCCTGCTGTCGACCGAGCGCGCTCCACTGCTCACGCAAAGCAACTCCTCGCAAATGGCCCGGATCCGCCGCGGGGGAGCTACGACAAATCACATCGGAGCGGGCATGTGCTTTTCGGACGTTTGCGAGGAGGTATTTTGCGAGTAGAGGAACGCGCTCGATGACGAGCAACGATCGGGGGTTGCCAAAGGTGCCCCCTGACCCAAGGTGCCCCCAGCTTTTCGCTCCAGCTTGGGGCCCTTGGGCGCCCTCTGGGCCTCGTGAGGGGTGCTCTGGAGGCCGTGGGGGCCTCAGTGTAAATCCTGGGGGCTCCATGGGCCAGGGGCACTTCTGGCAACACTCATGCCGCTGTTCACTCTTCGAAGAAGTCCGCATCCACGCCCCCAGGGCCGTCCGCCTCTGGAAGCAGCCTCCAGTTAAGTCGGGCGTGTCCCCCTACAGGGAGATTTTCAACGAAAAACAAAAAATGCTCAAAAAAAACTCAAAAATGCTCTAAAAATACTCCAAAATAGCCTCCCCGTTCGTCCGGCCCGAACCCCCCGAGACGAGCCGCCGCCGGAGCAATCCCGCCGAGGCCGGCACGCCGCGGCCCGCGCGCGGAAGCCCCCGGCGCGGGGCCCGCCGCCCGCCCGCGCGCGGGCGGGGGGGAGCGCCGCCAGGGCCGCGGGCCGCGGCGCCGCACGGGGGCCGCGCGGCTCCTGGCGGCGGGGGGGGTCGCGGGAGGTCGTTTTTTGAAGGCCGAGGATCGAGGTCCTCCTCCTCCTCCTCCTCCTCCTCCTCCTCCTCCTCCTCCTCCTCCTCCTCCTCCTCCTCCTGCTCCTCCCTCCCTCCCTCCTCCCTCCCTCCCTCTCTCCCTCCTCCCTCCCTCCTCCCTCCCTCCCTCCCTCCTCTCTCCTTCTCTTTCTCTTTCTCTTTCTCTCTCTCTCTCTCCTCTCTCTCTCTCTCTCTTCCTCTTTCTCTCTCCTCCTCCTCCCTCCCTCCCTCCCTCCCTCCTCCCTCCCTCCCTCCCCCCCCCCTCCCCCACGCCCACGCCGACGCAGCCTCGCCTCGCTTCCCCCCCATGGGAGGGTGCGGCCGCTGGGCGGGGTGGCTTCCTGGGCTGCGGCCGCGTCGTCCTCGCTGCACGAGTGGTACTCCAGCTCCTGTGGCGGGCGCCGCCGCGCTCCGCCGCGGCCCCCAACGGGGGCCTGTCCCCTGGGCGGGTCGGACGAGATCGCCGAGGCGCTTTGGGAAGCACAGAGACATACTATTACTATATGTCCTCCTTGGAGGCGAGCGTCCGACCCGAACATATAGTATACCCATCTTGTAGTATATCGTTTCCCGAGCGGTGTGGCCAGAAAGCGCCCACCACGACGCATATACTACAAGATTTCTCGGTGCGCGCGTCGCCCCTGGGGGGGCGACGAACACATAGTATAAGTATGTTGGGGGGATGCCGCGCTTGACTGCGGGGAGGCAGGAGCAGCCAGCACCGAATCACGAAATCGGGCCACCGGGTCTGATCGGAGCGTGCATCCTGTCGGGCCGCACCAACACGAGGGGCGAAATCGCAGCGCATCGGCCGCGCCAGGATGCACAACAACGCAGTGCAAGCGTGGGGACGCATCGGGATCGTCGGAACATCGGACTCGAATCGGGTCGGGCCGACCGAGATCGGTATCGCATCGGATCGATCGGATAAAAATGAAACCACGCCAGGCGTGTCGTCCGTCAGCTGCGCCTCGTCGGAGGCCCTCCTGGGAGCCCGCGGGCGTGCCGAGATGGCCGCTTGGGGCCCGAGGCGTGGCGGCCCGAGGGCAAGCTGGAGGACGGCGCCCCAAGTCGGACGAAAGGGGTAGGAACAAGGAAAGGCGACACCAATACAAGCAGGGCAAGGAGATGCGAGGAGGCAAGGGGGGTATCCCTGGTGGTGTGGTCCCCCCCCTCTCGCTCGAGACATCCCTAGCCTCCAGCTCGGGGAGGCATCGTGGAGCCCCCTGGTGGTGTTGGTGTTGCTTCTCTTTCCTCCGAAGGGGGGGCCTAGCAACTGAGAAGTCCGCGCGTCAGCCTGCGGAGCTGGTTTCCCCGGCTCCCTCCACTGCCAGAGGCGCCAATCCGCCGCCGTGCCCCCCCAGCACGCTGGGACGTGCTAGAATGCCAGGTGTTGTCCGGCAGGTTTCCTGTATTTGTCTAAGGCCTCGGGAATCAGCCTCATGCGTGCACCACCCCTCGCAAAATACTACAGATTCGCGCTGCCGAGGCCCACATGCCTCCACAGACAGACAGACAAACAGTCACGCGGAAAGCACCTACGCGGGTGCAGCAGGTTGGCGCCAGGGCGCCTATGTTGGCCTCTCAGATTGTGGCGTTGGTACTTTGAGCAGCCAAGATCAGAAGAGCCGGAGTCGGAGACGGAGAGGCGCCGGACGCCGGAGTCGGACAGAAGAGAATCTGCTATCTGACAGTGGACCTTGACCACAAGCTGTTCCATATGTCGGTATCTGCGAGTCGTGGTAACCCTGCAACGTGCTGCGGCGCGTCCTCTACACACCGTCCAATCTAGGATAATATGTCGTCCCACCACCTGGTCTTTTGCCGCCCAACACGTCGTTGTGTACGTATGTGCGTGTCACCATGTGGCTCCCATTGTAGCACTCGTCGTGGCCATTATTTGGCACTGTTTGTAGCAATTTCCCATACCCATGCCCATTTGCGTTTTTGACTGTGGTGGCCCAATCATCGATTCTAAGCTGCGAAATGCGATGCTCAGCCTGCTGCGTCGCACGCTTGATCCATTCCGGCCAAGGGTGAAGGTTGTCATCCACAATGCCGTCGATGGAAATGTCCATTCCACCGTCGCCCCACAAGAAATATCAGCGTCATCTGCTGTGCTGCCGGCGTGGGGTTGTTTCGATTGGTGTCGCGTGGTAGCAACTCTCCTGTAATATTCCGATTGTTTCACCGTGGGGTCCTGATAATAACTCGAAGCATTTGTGTTTGTGTTCTGCGAACTCTATTTTCCAGCTCCTGTGTGACCGTCCAGGCTTCGCACCCGTATACCATGGTTGGTGTGACCGTCCCTTGGAAAAGCCGGATACGATTATTCATGGAATAACTTTCCCACGTAAACTCTGATGTGGAGATAAAGAACTTGTTTCATGCCGCGGCAATCCGGCGTTCGATCTCCATCTTGTGGTACTCGCTGAACTGGAGTTTTCGCCCCAAATATTTCGTGCCTTGGAATAGCGGCAACACCTCTATCTTCATGCCGTTCACGGATACGTGGTTCGGTGGCTGTCGTCCTCGTTTTTGGCGGTGTCCATTGTGTCATACTTTGGTCTTGTCTGGATGGAGGTGGAGACCCGTTCTGGCCGCTTCGGTGCTGAGGTCGGACAGCATTGCCGTAATGTCGTTGCATGAGTGTGCGATCACAAAGATATCGTCGACCAAGATTAGATTGCTCAATAGACCCGTTCCGCATGGAAGCAAGACAATGCCACGTCGATGCGCTGCCCATTTTCCCCTCACCAGTCGCATAACATGTTCAGAAACAGCATTGAGAAGGAGTGAGCTCAGAGGGTCGCCTTGTTTCGCCCCTTTCTCGATATCGAATGTCTTGCTGCGCCGGTCGGTCTGCATGGACCCAGTCTGCTCGCCGTACAGCTTTTGAATCAAAGCGATATATGATGTCGGGACTTGTTTTCTCTGAGAGCTTCCCATATGCTCGCGTGCGTCACGCTGTCGAATGCTGTCTCAAAGTCGACGGCCGCTATCCATATCAGCACCTGCCACTCGTCTGAGACCTCCCTCCAAGGCGGCCCAATATCTTTCCAAGACGAGCCAGTTGGGCCTCAAGACGGCCCAAGATGGCGTCAAGGCGGCCCACGAGGCCGTCGAGGCGCTCCAAGAGAGCCCTAAGAGCCTTCCCAAGAGGGCCCCGAGAGGCAAAAATCAGGGTTCCTTAGTCGTTTCAATGCATTTCGGGTTTTCACCCCTTCGAGCTTCCGACGTCCCAAGACGACCCAAGAGGCCACCAGGACTACCCCCAGACGGCCCACGAAGCCCCCAAGAGGGCCCAAAGACGGCCCTGAGGGCTCCAAGACTGCCAGTGGGGCGCCCACAAGGGCCCCAAGAGGGCCCCAAGAAGAAGGGCCCAACCAAGAGGGTGAACACGAACCGACAATTCGAGCATTCCGCCCCAAGAGGGCTCAGGATGCCCCAAGATTGCCACAAGAGACTCCCAAGAGCGCCCAAAGAGTCAAAAGCACACAAATCTCCCATAGTTTGTATGACGTGGTGTGGGTTCTCGCTTCGAGCTTCCGACGCTCCAAGACGGCCCAAGAGGCCCCCAAGACTCCCACGAGGCGGCTCAAGAGGCCCCCGAAAGAGCTCGAAACGACGGCCCAAAAGGCGCCCAAGACTGCCCGAGAGAACGCCCCCAGAAGGACCCAAGAGCTGGAGCACGAGCCACGAATCAGACCACCTTGCCTTCTCGCAGAGCTGCCAACCAGAATGCTGCGCTGGCGCGGTGGCGGAATTGCTGAAGGCAGCTGGATGTCGAGGGAAGCGCCTGGCGGAGAGGCCGAAATCAGTTGCATGCCACAGATTCCGGGGCACCCGGGAGTCGCGCTCACGCCTAGGACTCCCTCACAGCTTATCTAGAAATCGGGATCTCGCTGCCTGTCGTGGCCCCCTCGCTGCCGTTCGTGGCCCCGTTGCCTCGAGCTTCCGACGCGCCCCAACGAGGGCAACGAGGAGGCTCGACTGCAAGTTCTGGCATCTGCGGAAGAAGGGAGCAGGGGAGGGGAGGAGCAGGGGAGGAGGAAGAGGGAGGAGGACGACGAGAGGGGGAGAGGATGAAGAGGGCGAGAGGGAGAGGAGGACCACAGAAGGAGGAGGAGGAGGAGGAGGAGGAGGAGGAGGGAGAGAAGTGAAGGAAGGAGAGGCAGAAGGAGGTGGCATTCCCCTCAAGTCTCGCGCGCGGGTGCAGGCGGGGGGCTTCAATTAGTTCCCCCGCCGAACACAGCAATCGAGGATGTATCGCCCATTCATGGCTTTAAAAAACATCATTGCTGGGACCCTGCGCCCGACCCCCACTTTCACCCTCCAAATAAGAGGCGAAGGAGAAGGAGGCCGGACGAGGCGTAACAAGAAAGATTAAGGGGTAGGGAGCAGAAGGGAAGAGACGGCGAGAGAAAGAGACGGCGGGGAACAACGACGACGACGACCACGATGACGACGACGACGACGACGACGACGACGACGACGACGACGACCAAGACCACGACCACGACCACGACCACGACGACGACGACGACGAGGACGAGGACGAGGACGAGGACGAGGACGACGACGACGACGACGACGAGGACGATGAGGACGACGAGGACGACGAGGACGAGGGCTGGAGGGGAGGAGGGAGGAGCCAGGGGGGAGGGGGGAGGAGATCGTGGAGTGAGGGGGAAAATCCAGTCGGGCTGCTGAACCAAGGAACGATATAAATCGCCCATTTTTGGCTCCAAAACCGCCCTTCATTCACGAGGAGGGCCAGAGGAACAGCCATGGAAGGACCTGAGCAGCATCGAGTCCCTTCCGAACCCGACTTTTTCTTAATGTCAGCGTCGTGACTGCAGGGGGGGAAAGACGCGTGAGGAGGACGACGACGACCAGGATGAGGACCAGGACGAAGACGACCAGGACGAAGATGACCAGGACGACGACGACGACGACGACGACGACGACGACGACGACGACCACGACCACGACCACGACGACGACGACGACGACGACCACCACCACCACCACGACGACAACCACCACGACGACGACCAGGACGAAGACGACCACGACAACGACCACGACGATGCCCACGGGGAGGCGGCGGATGCTCAGTCCGCACCGCTCCTCGTCGCTCTGCGCCTCGGCACACCCGCGCGGGTCGCGGTCGGCTGCCGACCTTTCCTGCCTCCTGCCTCCTCCTGCCTCCGCCTGCCTCGCCCGTTCCTGCCCCCTCCTGCCTCCTGCTCCGTGTCCTCCTCCCCCCCGTCGTTTCTGACGTTGAGCGGACTTTCACCCTAAGATTGTAGCGTCTGGCCTCCCCCCTCCTCCCCCTCCTCCTGCTCCTCCCTGTGCTCCTCCTTTTCCTCCTCCTCCTCCTCCTCCTCCTCCTCCTCCACCTCCTCCTCCTCCTCTTCCCTCCTCCTCCTCCTCCTCCTCCTTCTCCTCCTCCTCCTCCTCCTCCTCCTCCTATCCTCCCCTCCTATTCCTTCCTGCCTCCTCCTTTCTCATCCTCCTGCTCCTGCTCCTGCCTGCTTCTGCTTCCTCCTCCTCCTTCTTCCTCTCCGGCTCCTTCCCCCTCCTGCGTCCCCCTGCTCCGCCTCCGCCTCCTCCTCCTCCTCCTCCTCCTCCTCCTCCTCCTCCTCCTCCTCCTCCTCCTCCTGCTCCACAAAGAGCGGGAATATGCGGGAATAGGCCCACTCGGCTACCAACTCCCCCATGCCATTTCCTTATGAATCACTCGTCCCTGTAGCACCCTCAGGCGTATCGGTAGGGCGGGCCGGGAGTTTCGCCTCAGACTTCCTCATCACATCTAATCCTGAGCCTTGAAGTTGCAACAGCTCCAAGGAAGGATGGCTAGCTGTTTTCAAAAGGGAGCTCTCGCCTGAGCATCTCGCGCATTCGTCTCAAAAGTTCGCACCAACTTCAAGGATGAAGAGAGAGCCGTTCTCAAAATGGGGCTCTCGCGCTAGCGGCGCGAACTTTCGTTTAAAAAATCCCGCAGCTTCAAGGATGAAGGGCGGTCCGTTTTCAAATTGGCGCTGTCGCCTAAGTACCGCGCAGATTTGTTTTGAAAGCTTGCAGCAGCTTTCAAGATGGAGGGCGGTTCCTGTTTAGAAGAGACGCTCTCGCCTTAGCGCCGCGCACAGTCACCGTAAAAGTCTGGCACCGTTCCAATGACAGAGTGTGGCTCCTTTTCAAAGAGAGACGTTCGCTTGAGACTCAACTGACAAAAAAACAGAAGCGTGAACAGATGCACAAACTGCAAGAATGAAGAGCAACGACATTTCAAATTTGGGCGTTCGCTTGAAACCTTTGTACATTACGAAACCCACGACTCGAACAGATGACAGCAGAATGGATGCTGGGCGGTTTTTTTTTCCGAAAAGGGGATCTGCCTTGAGACGTCCTCGAATCACATGGCAGAAATGAAACTTGTGCAGGCGTTGACGGGGATTCCGATAAGCCTGCAGGAACATACTTTTCTGTTTTCCCTGGAACTCGCTGGAAGGATGCAAGGCAGTTTGACATATTTTCAAACGGGGCTCTCGTCTGAACGGGAAACCCATCGGATGAGGGTCTTGCAGGGGCACTTCCACAAGTGAATAGGGAAGCTGATCGGGACTTACGAGGAGCAGACTTGGAACGGGAGGGCGTCTTGTCGCATCGCTGGCATAGACTCGATATAGAATCGTCTTTCTTCCCTACTCGCCCTTATCATCATCCCACCTCCTCCTCCTCATCCTCATCCACCTCGTCGTCGTGCTCCTCCACCCACTGCTCTTCCTCTTCCTCCTCCCTCCTATTCCTCCTCCTCCTCCTACTCCTACTCCTCCTCCTCCTTTTCCTCATCATCGTCATCAGCATCATCATCATCATCATCATCATCATCATCATCATCAGCATCAGCATCACCATCATCAACATCATCATCATCATCATCATCATCATCAGCATCAGCATCAGCATCAGCATCATCATCATCACCATCACCATTATCATCATCATCGGCAGCAACAACAGCATCATCATCACCATCATCATCATCCTCAGCATCATCACCAGCATCATCATCATCACCACAACCATTACGACCACCACTACCACCATCATTCACATCGCCCTCGCCTTCGTCCACGGGATCCTCCTCCGCCTCCTGTTCCTGATATTCCTCCTCCCTTCGCTTCATCTGCAAAACAACCGCACATTATCCTCAGAATCATCACCTGTCATGAACCACCACCACCACCACCACAATCATCATCATCATCATCATCATCATCATCATCAGCAGCAGCAGCATCAGCAGCATCGTCCGCACCATCGTCGGCCGCATCATCACCATCATCACCACCATCAGCATCATCATCGTCAGAATCAGCATCATCAGCCTCATCGTCATCGTCATCCTCATCTTCAACATCAGCAGCATATCATCATCAGCACCGTCATCACCATCATCATCACCATCATCAGCATCAGCATTATCAGCATCATGATCGTCAACAGCACCAGCACCATCACCAACAGCAGCAGCACCATCATCATCATCAGCATCAGCATGATCATGATCATCATCAGGAGGTTCCCCAGCCGTCAGTATGTTCAGAACTATGCTATCTGTCATCCGCATGTGGTGTGAAACCCAATCGTGAGCGGCGGCGGCCAGCAGCGACAGCGAACGAACCACGACAACTGAAACTGAACAATTTGCAGCTCAAGACTGTGCTTGCGGCCCGCCGTGAGCTAGGGCGGGAGGTCGAGCACCAGAGGGACAGGGAGGAAGGCTTGAGCGAAATGGAACGGACTCTGTACTGCACCCCCTAAACGTTCGCAGGACAAGCCGGAGGTTCCCCACCCGTCCGTATTTTCAGAGCTATGCTATCTCTCACCCGCATGTGGCGTGAAACCCAATTGTGGGCGGCGGTGGCCAGCAGCAGCGAACGAATCACGACAACTGTCACTGAACTATTTGCCAAGCCTCGAGCGTCCATAACTCGCACTCGGCTCTACGGAGACCGTCAACTGTTGGGACACGGAGGGCGAGAGTGGAACGAGTGGAGGTGCTGCCGAAAGGCGCGGTCAAAAGCGGCATTCACAAAGACGTCGGCCACGGCATTACACAGAACCTAGGGATATGCGGAGGCGCGAGCAGTCCAGTGTACATTTAGGCCACCACGGCCCTGAAAAATCTGGTTTCTGCTTTGAAAACGTCCATATCCCTCGGATCGGGTGGCACCACTTGGAAAGATCCACGGCCCTAGGCAACAGAAAAAACGCGAAACCTGGTCGGCTTGCACCACGGCGCTCCCCAGCCACAGCATTTGGCAATTACGCATTGCACTCCAGAGCAACGCGAGACACGACGGGCGGAGTCGAATCTCCACATGCAGGACGACTGCGGCTTCTCCCAAAGAAAAAGAACACGCATGCGTTGACAAGCTTTAAACATCCTAGTAGACACCTGCATTCCATTGCCCTCGCCAACCACGGCCTGAAGAGGAGGGGGGAGCGAGGGAAGGCCAAGGGGGTGAACACTGCTACGGATGGCGCTGCGCCCGCCTCGAGCACTGGAGTAACTCTTGCAAGGAACACCCGCAAGGAGCACAAGACACTTGCCGCTCCTGATCATTCGAACAACGCGTTTCGAAACAGCGGGCCTCAGGAGATCGCCCCGAGGGCGTTGCAACACATCAAACGAGAACACCGAGAAGCCTCGCTTTCTCTAGGCCTTCGAAGAGTGCCCGAGGACACCTCAATGAAAAAAACTGCCCCGACTTGGCGCGGGATGGCATCAGGCGCGGGTGGTCATATGTGCCCTTACCACCTGCAGCAGTCGTTGTGTCAGATAGCGGCAGACCGCTGCAGGCTGCCTCCACCGGCCCCGGCGCTGGACCTCGAGCAGCGAGATCCTCTCCGAAAGCGTGACGATCGAGGCCTTGCTGTGCCGGAACTTGCACAGCACGGTTCGCGCTTCCGCGAGGCCCGAGATTTTGTCGGCACTGTCGAAGGTCTTCTTGGCATGGCGCATCGTGGAATCCCATGGCGGCTCCGTCGGGTCGCCAAGGCTTCGTCGAGCGATCGGCGAGGCGCCCCAAGGACGGGCGATGTTGACGGCCTCGTCGATCTCGCTTGTCTTGCTGAGCTTCTGTAGGTTGTCTGGGTTGATGTGGTTCGTCACCATCTGCATCTTCGCCTGTTGCGAACACACCTAGCCCTTGGTCAATGTTAGGGCTTCGCCAAACCTGCGGTTGGTGCCCCCATCATCGGCCAGCACAGCGCCACTTGCAGCTTGCCCCAGATCTGCCAGAGCCTCCCCGCGATGCCCATCCTGGCAGCCCACGGCAGCGGGCAGCAGGTTCGCGCAGGTCGCAGTAGTCGCCAGCCTCGCCGCACGCTGCGCGCGAGCAGAAGTGCCAAGCGGCCATTGCTCTAGCAGTCGTTTGCAAGGCTATCGTGGCGAAGTGCTTCACCCGAGGCCTCGCTGGCAGCGAACGCGGCGAGCGGCCGCCCGTGGGGCGCCCCGCTCTCGCGAGCGTCGCCCCCTGAGCGGCCCCGACCCGCGAACGTGCAAGGCGAGCCGCCAGCGCTGACACAGCGCGCACAGGTCACGGTGGCGAACGGGGGCTCACGCCCAGGGGGGCCCCAGCCAGCCTGCGAGCCGCCGCAGGTGACGCGGCGCGGCCGCAGCTGTCGGCCCTGCGCGGCAAGCTCTCGCCAGTCCGCGGCAGCTGCACGGCGTCCGTCAGCACGCTCGCGGGCTCGGCTGGCGCCATCAGCGCCGTTCAGCTCGCTCGGCGCCCATCGTCTGTAGATCTGGGCGCCCGTGGCCAAGGCGAGGGCGGCCCCTCGACGAAGAATATTGAGCAAGTAAATATCGCGGCGAAAGACCTTTGGAAAGTGCAAGGGTAACCGCGAGATTTTCTCCGAAGACCACACGTCTCTTCCCCCATGAATCCGCGTCCGAGAGGATCAGCTTGACGGCGCGCAGATATCATCTTGCCTCTTTTCGATGCATGGGCCGTTTCCTGAGCAGGGGGGCGCAGCGCAGCAGCTTCCAGCTGGCGCGGCGGAAGACGCGCGCAGGCACTTCAGGGAAGTCTTTAACAGACTCACCCCATCAACGCTGCGAACTCCGGCTCGCCGTCTAGAAGCGCGGCCTCGGCCGCGCGAGCCGCGCGGTCGCGCGGCCGCCAGCTGCCGCCCTCCTCACGGGCGTGGCGGAAGCGCCATCTCTCGCGCCAGCGGCCAACAGTAGCCACGTCGCCTGTCATCCAGTCGGCGACCATCGACGCGCGGCCCGTCTCGCAGGCAGCGGCCACGACGACCTGCGACGACCAGGGGGCGTCAAGCTGGGCGCACAGTGTGATCAGCACCCCGCAGAAGATCCTGAGCTCCTTCCGCACGGACGCCCAGTGGCCGCGCGCGCTGGAAGCCCTGCTGCACAAACGCATACACAGCGCTGAAGCAGCTGAGGCTCTCACGGCGGCAGAAGGCCGCGAAGGCGCAATGACCGGCGACGTGCTCGATGTCGCGGCTGGTCACCCTGGATCGGCGCTGTGCGAGAACACGAAGACCCAGGAAGAGCGCCCCGAAGCGCTTCGAGGCCAGCGTGGCACGAGCGGGCCGCCCTTCCAGCTGCCCGCCCAGCATCACCATGGACTCGGAGGCGTCGGTCTCGTCGTGAACGGCGAGCCCAGCCGCCTCCAGCGCCTCCGAAGCCAACCGCCTGACGCGCGTCACCTCCTCACGGTCGGAACCGACGACGAGCGCGCTGCCGACGTACAGGGAGTGGGTCGGCTGGTCGAGCGGCGACGGCGGCGGCGCGAAATCGACCGCACACAACTCAGGCCTGAGGGCGCAGCAGCCGCCCAGCACGCGCTCGTGGGCCTTCTGGGCGAAGTAGGGCGCCCAGCTCCAGCTCGTCGGCGAGACCGCCAGCTGCGGGCGCAGACGCGCCCACGGCGCCACGCGGCGCTCGCCCAGCCTGCCGATGGCCAGCTCGCCGGCGGCGACCGCGGGCAGGCAGAAGAGCGGCCGCAGGTAGGCGGGCAGCTTGTGCTGGCAGAAAGCGTTCCGGGCGTCAACTCCCGCAAAGTAGATCGAGGCCCCCTCGGGCACCTCCAAATCCGCGAAGCCCGCGCGGGGAAGAGGTTGACTGGCGGAGGAGGCTGAAAAGGGTGATTGCTCCTCCGAAAGTCAAGCACCATCCTGATACGGCCATCCTTTTCGGCCACGAGGAACACCCCGACGCCCTCGGTCATGGTCTTGCCCGCCACTAGGGCGCCCCTGGAGAGCCCTGACGTCACTCACTCTATGTAAATCGCGCGATTCAACTCGAGCACAGGGCCCATCTATAACGAAGGCCCCCCGCACCCCTCCACGACTGCGTCGGAGTTCGGCGACGGAAGCAGCGGGGCGCGGTTGGGGTCGAGGAGCGAGCGTCGATCGCCAGGCCCGAGTCGGTCAGCAAGCCAGCAGGCTCGTTCCCAAGAGTGGGCCAGCTCACGAGGTGCGGCGCATACGGCCTCAGCGGCAAGTCATTTGACTTGTCGCAGTGCAGACACGAACGGCCCAAAAGCTCCGAGCAGGCCCCCTGGGCCGACGCGCCCGCCGGAGCCTCCATCTGACGAGGGCGGCGGACGCGTCGAAGCAAAAGATCGTCCGCATCAGAGAGGCGCTCTGGCGTGCACCGCGGCGTACGTTATCCCCCAAGCAGGTCGAGGCACTCCATGGCGTCCCGAGTACGCTCCTCAATGGACTGAGCAGGATGAGGGCGTGCCCGAACCGAACGGGAAAGTACAGGCGGAGGCCGAGGAGCAACTGGCGCGGCAGGCACAGCAAAGGGCAGCATCCCGTCGCCAGGAGGGTGACCATCAGCAGGCCGCCAAAACTGGCTCTCACGGTACGGCGGACGGGTCGAGCTACCTCCCACCCGCTGGCTCCAGTTTACCCCCTCTGCTTCTGGATATTGGACTCCTCGGCGGGCTGCTCGTGCGCGCGCGTGACCGGGTCTGTCGCAACGGTGTCCCAGCGGCGAGCACTCTGCTGCAGGCGGCCGACGTAGAGCTCGGCCCCATCGATCTTCACGCTGTGTATGGTCGCCTCGATAAGCTGGTATGTCCCAGCATCCATCTCCAAGCAGGCCTGGTCTGAGCCGTCGACCTGGTCGTAGGTCTGGGCGAACTCAACCGCGAGCCAGAGGAGGTCGTGAAGCTCACCCGCCGCCGAGTCCCCTGTGCAGCCGTTCTTGCTTATCCACTGGGTCTGGCGGCCGTCGCGAGCCGCGCCGTGCCCGACGATGCACTCGCAGAGCCACTTGTAGCTCCGCTCCCTCGTCCGCGGGGAAACGTCGAGCGCCTCCTGCCACATCTGCACCACCGACTCGCGGAAATCGAGGTGGCGTCGTCCCTCACGGTTCCTGGTGGGTGGGCCCAGGGCACGAACATCGTCGCCCCCTTCACCATCGTGCCGAACGGGAGGGACAGGGCCAACCAGCTCCATGGGCACGATGGCCCCAGACTGCAGCCTGTGAAAGCGGCTCTCACCCCAGACGACGTCGCCCGTTGGTCGCCGAGAGAAGCTGGGCACCTCCCCGAAGCTGACCGTGGTGAAGCCCTCTCGCATCCCGCCGTTCCGCACGTACCTGGACAGCTCGGCGACATCCACCACCGAGGCCCGCGCCTCACGCCAAGCAGCTTGCACCATGTCCAGCAGCTCGGACTCCGAGGGGTAGGTGCGGAAGCGGTAGACGCAGCCCGAGGACCGCTGCCGAGCAGGGGCGGCGCCGAGGGTCAGTGACGCCTTATCAGGGCCGTCCCCGTCCGCGCCGCTAGCAATCTCCTCGTCGTAGATGTGTCCATCGGGCGTGAGGCGGGTCCACTGCCTCGCAGGCCGCTCCGAATCGGCGGGTCAGGTCACCTCGCGCTCGTGGCAGATGCCGCAGCCGTCGCCATAGTTGAAGGTGCTGACGCGGCCTGGCCTCAGCTCATTGAGGACGTCCGCCGCCACGGCGGAGCTCCTCGCGGCCCCAAAGAACAGCAGGCGCGACACGAACGACATGCCGAGCGTGAGGGACCCTGCACGCGCCCACGATCTGCGGCTCGACATCCGTCACGGTGGACCCGAGGGTGTGCACGTAGACCGACCCGTTCGTCCAAGCCCTGCTGAGCTTGTGCCGACGAGCGTCGCGGAGCTCCGAAGACAGCTCGGCCACCTCCGCGTGCAGCCGCGCGGTCGGGACCAATCAGCCCGACAGGATGCGGACGCAGGCGGATGCCCGCCCCGTCTCGCCCGCCGCCGCCGCGGCCTGCGGCCCCCCGAAGGCGGCAGTCGAGGGGCCCTCACAACCCGCCGCGCACAGGGTCTGCCACCAGGCGTCCAGCGCACACCAGGCACAGGGATCCGTCTCAGAGGAGCCTGTGGGAGCCGAGGGCGCGGAGAATATCAGGAGCTGCCTGGAGGAAAAAGGCTTGAGCGAAATGGAACGGACTCTGTGCTGCGCCCCCTACACGTTCGCAGGACAAGTCTCAGTATCAGCATCATCATCATCATCATCATCATCTGCAGCAGCAGCAGCATCATCATCATCATCATCATCGTCATCATCATCATCAGCATCGTCATCATCAGCATCATTGCCATCAGCAGCAGCCGCATCAACATCAACGTCAAAGGCAGTATGCGAATCCGCATTAGCATCAACATAAACCTCAACATTACCAGCATAATCAGCAACGTGTGCACCATCGTCGACATCGGCATCAACATCCTCATCACCATCAGCAGCAGCAGCAGCAGCCGCAGCAGCAGCAGCAGCATCAGCATCATCATGTGCATCAGCATCGGTATCGTCAGCATCATAACCATCATCGTCCTCAACATCACCCGTGCCATCCACATCCTCCCCATCACCAACCTCATCATCAGTAGCATCAAAAAATGCAGGGGCACTACCACCATCGTCATTATCAGCACCATCATCATCACCAGCAACAGCAACATCGTCATCACCATCACCGTCAACAGCCCCAGTATCATCATTATCATCCTCATCATCCTCGCCACCATCATCGCAATCATCGTCAGCATCATCATCACCATCATCATCATCGTCGTCAGCCTCATCAGCATAATCAGCATCCCAAAACTCATCCTCCTCATCAGCATCATCACCATCACCGTCATCCCAGTCATCGCCATCGCAAAACATAGCAGCAGCCGCAGCGTCAGCAACAGCATCATCATCACCGTCGGCATCACCACCACCATCACCATCATCATCAATATCACCACCATCATCATCATCAGTATCATCAACATCAACAACAGCATCAGCATAATCAGACACGACAACAGCATCAGCATAAGCAACAGCATCCGCATTATCATAACATCCAGTAGTAACCACCATCACCATCATCATCAGCAGCAGCATCATCATCATCGTCATCAGCATCGTAAACATGAGGATCAGCATCCTCGCCAACATAATCAGCTTCAGCATCATCCTCATCATCAGCATCATCATCATCATCATCATCATCCGCAGCATCATCAGCAGCATCATCAGCATCAGCAGCATCATCGTCATCGTCATCAGCACCGCCAGCATTAGCAGTATCCCCATCATCAGCATCATCATGAGCAGCAGCAGTACCATCGTCGTCATCAGCATCAGCATCATAATCATAATCAGCATCAGCATCATCGCCATCATCATCAATAGCACCATCATATGTATCATCAGCATCATCAGTATCCTCATCATCAGCATCAGCATCATCGTCATCAACATCAGCATCAGCATCATCATGATCATCAGCATCATCATACTCACCATCATCGTCATCAGCATCAGCAGCAGCATCACCATCAGAATCATCATCATCATCAGCATCATCGTCATCATCGTCAGCATCATCATCATCATCATCATCGTCATCGTCATCACCATCAGCATCCTCGTCGTCGTCACCAACACCTCCGCCGCCATCATCGTCATCATCAGCATCATCACCATCCTCGTCAGCATCAGTACCATCAACATCAGCATCAACATCAACAGCATCACCAGCATCGCTAGTATCAGCATCATCATTACCACCATTATCAGCATCATCGTCGGCATCATCAGCATCAGCAGCATCATCGTCAGCATCAGCATCACCATCATCAGCAGCATCATCAGCATCCTCATCATCATGATCATCATCACCACCACCATCATCATCATCGTCGTCATCGTCATCGGCATCGTCATCATCATCGTCAGCATCATTGATCTCATCATCCTCCTCACAAGCATCCTCTCTACGCGGTGCAAGGTGCGTTCTACAAAAATCCGAAGGTGGCCCTGGCCCGACTGGGCACGTGTAATCCAGACCCCCGACGTCGTGATTTTCCCGGCAAAGGCGTGGGCCCAGGGTTTCATTGCGTCGTCGGGCCTTTGGCTCTAAACCAAAAGGGGTGTAAAGAAGGGTGATTCGGAGATGCCTGTGGGAATTCTCCATAAAGTAACAATACGCGCGTGAGAGGAGGTAGGCGCAGATTCAGGACGTGTGGTCACGTGAATTGGCGCCAAGGGGTGGTTATCGAACATGCGTCTGGCACTCGATTCAGCGTGCAATCTGGGGGGCGCGTGCTTGACACATGCTTTCGCCAACCACGTGTGAACCGTACCCGTACAGGCCAGAATTCTGAAAAACCATAGAAAGTTTCCAGAGGTCGACGGACGCCTGCAGCCAAGTGAACCCTAGTGGGGGCGCCCGATAACCCAACGTCAACTGCACCCGCAAGAGTAGTAGGAAGAGCAAGGAAGAGGAGCGAAAGAAAAGGGAAGAGGTTGGAAGGAGGAAGGGGGGAGGATGGAGGAAGTAGGAGGAGGGAGGAAAGGGGAAAGGAGAAAGAGAGGGCGACGTGCGACAACCGACCTCTCACTTGCTGTTTCCCGCTTCCCACTCGCCCTGCTGGTTCTATTGGTGCTGCTGCGGCCTCCTCCTCCTCCTCCTCCTCCTCCTCCTCGTCCTTCTCCTCCTCCTCCCTGCTCGGTTCCCAGCGTAGACGCCACCAGTTCACACTTGTTTCTACCCCCTGTCAGGGGCGCTACGGCAAACTAGGAGCCTAGAGGCACTTAACATGCACGTGCCACTGTCACCTATTGTACCGAGGCCCGATTCCAGTGATGATGATATTGACTATGGTGTGATGCGTTGTTGCTGTTCTTTTCGGTCCACCAATGGATGTGTACGAAATGCGCGCGACACAGCACTGCCGCTGGACTTACAAAACAGATAGGGGGACAGAGGAGGAGGAGGAGTCTTAGGCACCGAACCTCCGAGGAGACAATCAGACAATAGAAACATGAGGGGGAGCACGACGACGACAACGACGACGACGTGGAGAACGATAACCTTGGCACGTGCAGTCTGACTAGGAAGAATGCGGTTGCGCACACATACGCTAAGGTACGCGGGCCTTCGTCCGAAGCATTATGTAAGTATTTGGCTGAACGTCGCACGCTCGCCAATCTGACCCGAAGACTGTCCGCTATACGTTGCGAGGTGGCGGTTGCAAGAACAGTCGCATGGTCATGTTCCTACCCCGATTGCGGGCCATCAGCGAAGAGAGGGGAGGGGGCACCGGCTCCGCGTGGCTCCCGATCCCCGGCAAGAAAGCAAGAAGGCAACAAGACAAACTCGGGGATCACAGAGAGCCGGCAGGTCCGTCTCAGAGCGCTCCAGAGCGCTCTGAGAGCGCTCTACAGAACGCACAAAGACATACTGGTACTGTATGTTCTCCTTGGAGGCGCGGGTCCGACCCCAACGTATAGTATACCCATCCTGTAGTAGATCGTTTCCCGAGCGGCGTGGCCAGAGAGCGCTCGCCACGGCGCATCTACTATAAGATTCCTCGGTGCGCGCATCGCCCCCGGGGGGGGCGACGCACAGATAGCACAAGTATGTCGGGGTGACGCCGATCCTGGGCCTCCCAGACTTTGGAGTCCCGAAACGGTGCTGTGACGGACCGTGCGGTGACCTCGAAATCCCCCAAGACCTCACCGCACGGTCCGTCACCGCACGGTCTTGGGACCCCGGAGGCCCCTGTCGCCCGAGACGTCCTCGGAGAACGACCCGAGTCCCAAAACCGTGCGGTGACCCCGAATCCCCACCGACTCACCGCACGGTGTGGTCACTGCCCCGTTTGGGGGCCCCCGACAGACCTCGGGCCGGCCCGAGGGGACCGGAGGGCCCCCACGGACCCCGTCAACGCGGACCCCACCTCTGGCCGTCGGGCCACGGCTCGGGCCTCGGGGCGGCCGCTCGAGACGGCTCCCGCATCCCCCACCGAGCCCTCGACGAGGCACGGCCTTAGCTACCCCGATACGCAACACGCAACACGTATCGTATTGATACGGAGCTCAACACGTAGGCTGATAACGTAGGTCCGACGCGATACATTCGCCAAAACGTGGTCCAATACGTGGAGCCAATACGCAACGTATTGACACGGACGTCTTGAACACGGGACGTATTGCGTTTCAAAACGCGCGTGTCGAGGCAAATAAGGGCACAGCTGATGGCCCAGCCTCCAAGGACCTCCGAGATCTTCCGGGAACGTCCGATGACATACAGAGACCGACGACAACTCACCCGAAAGCGCCAGTGCGGAACCCCGCTGGCGCGCGCCTCGACGCTGGACGAGCCTCGGCGGCCCAGAGAAGGGGCCCCGAGTGAGAGGGGCCCCGAGGACGGAGTGGCCTGAAGACAGTGAAGTTCCACCCTGGGATCCCTTTGACGCTTGATGTGCTTAGTCGAACCATTGCTACAAGATCGCGGGTCAAGCACACGAGACCGTTCGCCCGCAAAGGCCCCATGAAGATACCCCAAGGCGAAGAGCGCTCTGAGATGAAGGGCCCAACCCCTTGAAGAGCATGAGCTCCCGCTGCAAACATCTCACTAAAACTGCGCCGACAAAACGATCATGCTGGGACCATCGTCAAAAAGCGCCAGCAAGCTCAAGTCCCGGCAGACTCGAGTCTTACGCCTCACCGACTCTAGAGGCCTCCCAAGTAAAGTCCGAGTAGATGGGGTCGGAGGATCGCGATGCATCGCCGATGCACCAGCAACGCCAGCGATGTATCGGCGCCTTCGGCTTGGAAAAAATCGGGCTCTACGCCGAGCCGCATCACCGATACATCGGCAATGCGGCGCGCTCCTCCGACCCGACCTGCTCAAACCTCACGGAGCGGGGCCCAGCGCACATCCAAGAGATCCGCGCGGAGCTCCGAAAATTTGTTTCTGTAGTTTCTATGTCCTCAATGTGAGGCGTGGGAATATATGAGGACACAAAATGCACGGATACCGCTACTCCCTAGATTTCTCCTAGGGTGCAACCTGACCAAAATTTCAAGGCGAACCCAGCCGTGGCGACGAGGGCCTCCCCCGAGGCCCAAAAAGGAGAAAACGAGGGAAGGGTAGCGGTACAGGTAACTACCTTCCCAAACATGCGACGTCCTGATTTTTTCAGAACGGGGTCCCCGAAGATCCGACCCTTTCCCCGCGGCTGGTTTCTCATCCTGGGTCGGTTTCTGACGGTCCTGGGGCCCAGTGGGGGCCCCCGGAGACCCGAACCGATGAAAAACCGATCCTGAATCGTTTTTGACGGTCCTGGGGCCCGGTAGGTTGGAGGAGGAGGAGGAGGAGGAGGAGGAGGAGGAGGAGGTCCCGAAGTCCCGAGGTCCAGCAGGGCCCCCAAGGAGGCGCACACCGACGAAAGCCTCCCGGTCATTGTTTTTCACAGCGCGAGCACGTCTGGGCACCTCTCCCTCCTCAAAAGACTAGGTCGGGCATGTCCTCCTACAGGCGGCTTGTGGAAGGAAAGTTTGAAAAAATGTCCCAACACGAATATTCAGAAACAATCAAAAACATGGCAACAAAAAAAATTGAAAACAATCGAAAAAGCCGTCCCCTGACTGTGATTTCACTACTTTTGCAATATTCCTCCTCTGGAACGACATGTGCCCGACTTGACTCCACCACCTGGGAGGCGTGGGATCTTCGAGCCTCCGACGAGCCGCGCCCCCACCAGCGGCCGCGGCGGCCCGCGGCGCCTCCCGGGCGGGCGACCGCTGGGCGCCCGGCGTGCAGCTCGTGCTCGGCGCCCGACGGCGGCGGCAGCACCACCTCGGTGGCTCAGATGAAGGGGCCCCGGGACCTGGAGGGGGCCCTGGAAACGACAGGGCCCTTTTTGTTACCGGCTCCGTGTTACCGTTTCTGCTGCCGATTCCGACGCCGTTGTGTTACCCGTTCCGTCGCCGTTGTTTGAGCGGTTCCGGCTCCGGTTCCAAGCCTGCAGCCGTTTGTGCTGCCGGTTCTGGTCGCCGTTTTTTTGCCGTTTCCATTTTCAAGGGACACTTTTTCGGAAACGGTAAAAAACGGCCCTGCCGTTTCCGGGGCCCACTAAGCCCAGGACACACAAATACACACAAATAAAAAATTTCCCCCTATGTTCCTATACTTTGGGGGTTTTCGTCTCCCCCCCATTTCCCATATGTTCCCACATTTTCTGGGGAATCGGCGATGAATTGTGTCTGTGTGTTTTTTCCCTGCTGATCAGAGATGGGACCAAGAGGATGATGTTGTCGGCGGTTGGCAAGCCTCCCTTTAGCAAGCCTCCCTTCGGTGAAAACGGCCTAGGACAGAAACCGACGGACCTGGACCCGCACAAAAGTCGGCCGTGACGCCCCCTCGCGAACCGAAAACGGCCAATCCGCGAATCGACGTGTCAGGGTAGGAGGTCTATCAACCTCCGATATTGCTCCCATCGTACTTAAGAACCACATCCCAGAAATTATTTCGAGCACCCAGAAAAGTGTCGAAACAGTGTCGAAGCAGTGTCGAAACGGTGTCGAACGAGTGTCCCAGGGCCCGACACGTGAAAACCCTCGAGTTTCTGTACTTTCTTGGTGCTCGATTTTTTCTAGTGATCAAGGCTAAAGTAGGTTGGAACATCATAACGTGAGGGGTGGGGTCCTGAGGATGCCCAAAGGTCCGAGGATCTGCTTTTGTAAGTCAGGCATGTTCTGCTCCTCCTGGATGCTGGCCTCCGGGGCCTGGGGGCCATTGAAAACGGATCCGGGATGAAAAGCCCCCCGCCAAAGAGAAATGGGTCGAGAACTCCAGGGCCGCGGATTGAGAACCTCATAAACGCGGATCCAATCTTGATGGCCCCCGGACCCCGACATCGGGCCCCAGAGGCCGAAGTCCGGGAGAAAAACAAAAACAAAACCAGAACAAAAAAAAAGTACGCCAGACTGACAAAACCGTATCCTCGGATCTCTGGGCATCCTCAGGACCCCATCCCTGGGCGCGCCTGGGAGCGCTTGGGAGCGCCTGGGAGCGCCTCGGAAGCCCCCGGGGAGCGCCTGGGAGTGCGTGGAGCGCCCGGGAGCGCTTCGGAGAGCCTGAGAGCGCCTGGGGAGCGCCTGGGGGCGCCTGGAAGCCCCGAGGATCTCCGGAGTGCCCAGGGAGCACCCGGGGAGCGCCTGGGAGCGCCAGGGGGCGCCTGGGAGCGCCTGGGAGCGCTCGAGAGCGCCTGGGGAGCGCCCGGGGGAGCGCCCTGGGAGCGCCCTCCGGACCCCAGCTTCGACCCACCGACGACCACGCCGCGCCGCAGCGGCGAGCCGCCTGGGGGGCACCGGGGCCTCGGCCGCGGGCTGACGCTGCGCTCCTCGGGGGGCGGTGCTGCCGAACGGCCCCAGACAGGCTCGCGCCGCGGAAACAACATCAGGACGGGAGGATTCTCGTCGGTTTGGGGCCTCCGGGGGCCCCTACCAGGCCGCAGGACCGTCAAAAAACAACTCAGGATGAGAAGCCGGTCCCGGGGAAAGAGACGGGATTTCCGGGGGGCCCGTGATCATTTGAAAAAACAAGACGTCGCATGTCTTGATCCTCCTCCTCCTCCTCCTCCTCCTCCTCCTCCTCCTCCTCCTCCTCCTCCTCCTCCTCCTCCTCCTCCTCCTCCTCCCGAGGGCCGCGCGCTCCTCCCCCCCCTCCTGCCTCTCCAGGAGCCATGCTTCGGGGGCGGCCAAGAGGGGGGTGTCCAAGAGGGGGGGGGCGCAAATCATGGCCGGCAGCATGTGCGCGGCCCAGCGGGGGGGCCAGGGACGTAGTGAAGCAAGAAGAGGCGCCATGAAATCTGGGGAAATATCATGGCCACCGCCATGATATCCACCCCCCCCCCGGAATGCTGTCCACGCGCCCCGAGCCCTCGCTCGGAGCAGGGCGGGCCGAGGCGCAGCGGCACGGCACGGCCAAGATCGGTCCCTGGGCCGTGCCAGGCCCCTCCTTCGAGCGGGGGCTCGGCTACAGAGCAACCTTACCCTTAATTCGGGCCTGTCCCCTTACAGGGGGATTTTCAACGAAAAATGAAAGCAAAGTACCCAAAAATGGCAAGAAAATGCTCAAAACATCGTCCCCTGACTATTTTTGAAATATTCCTCCTGTAGAGGGACAGGCCCGGCTTAACCTTACCCAAAGATACCGGAGAGAAGCCCCAATCAGAATATGTGTTGGGGCCATGGAGCTATAGGGCTATAGGGCTATAGGGCTATAGGGTTATAGGGCTATAGGGCTATAGGGCTATAGGGCTATGGGGCTATAGAGCTATGGGGCTATAGGGCTATGGGGCTATAGGGCTATGAGGCTATAGGGCTATAGGGCTATGGGGATATAGGGCTACCGGGCTATAGGGATATATGCCAATTGGGCTATAGGGCTATTGGGCTATAGGGCTGTAGAACTATAGGGTTATAAGGCTACCAGGCACTCGGGCACCCAGGCATCTGGGCACCCAGACACCCAGAAAATTCTGGGCGCACCTCACCTAACCTTATGAATCCGCTAGGGCCCCTACAGAGGCAAGCTCTGATTGGGGAATCAGCTGTGTCGTCGAGTCTACCAAACAAAACGTAGCCTTGCTCATGGATTCGACGAAAAACAATGTAAGCGTTTTCTGATTCGGCGTTTCGACACTGGGCGGTAAGGGGGGGGGGAGGGAGGGGGAGGTCTGGCTCCCGACCTCTGCTTAGTGCGACTGTTTGGGACCGTGCGTCCTCTGGGGTAGACTCCACCCGCTCGAAACAGGCGCCAAAAAACAGCCAAGATCTACTCCAGAGGGGGGGAGGGGGGGGGTCCCGCGCCGATCGGCAAAATAAAAAAGCGATCACATTACCCTACCCCAAAATCAGCTGTTTCGTCGAGTCTACCAAAAAAACGTAGCCTTGCTCTTGGGGAAAATCCATACTGTAGTTCATCCCCTACCCGACTCCTGGGGCCCGAACGCACGGGTTGTTTCAGGCTGCGTCCGGCCGTGGCGACGAGGCGGCCCCCCGAAGGCCAACGCTACCGCTGCCGCCATCTCCTCCGAGAGGTGGCCGACACCGAGGAGCAGCGCCAGCTCAAGTGTGATGAAAGAAGCTCAAGTGTGAAAAAATGTGACCGACAAATGATAGAGCAACACTGCTCAAAAACCACAAAAAAAAAAAAAAAAAAAAAAAAAAAACGCAACAACAAAACAACAAAGAACACGCCAAGAAAGTAACACTTAACACACTTGTCACGCTTGAGTTTGTTGCCCGGCTTGAGCTCTTGTCGCACTTGAAGGCGACAGGCCTTCGGGGGTACTCGGAGGGGCCCAGGGAGACGCAAGTCAAGAGGCGCAAATCCTAGGACTTCCCAGACTTTTGCACAGGCTCTGGATGTTCGTCTTCCACCCCCCCCCTACACTTGCCATATTTCCCCTGCAGGCTCAAGAGTGATAACAAAAAACTCAAGTGTGATAGAAGAACCCAAGTGTGATACCAAAAAACCAAGCACGTGTCACACTTGAGTTTGTTATCCTACCTGAGTTGTTCTTATCACACTTGAAAAGCATCAGTCCTTCGGGGGTACTCAAAGGGTCCAGGGACACACAAATCAATAGACGAAAATCACAAGATACCCCCGACTTATCCCTTCTCCCAATGTTCGAAATATTCGCCTTCCCCACACACACAAACAAACACACACACACACACACACACTTCCCATATTTTCTAATGCGTTCCTTGGAATCGACGATTGCTTGTGTCTGTGTGCTGTTCCCCTATGGTGCATTTTTGAGGGACCTCGTCTGTCCCATCGAGCCAAGCATCCATGTCGCATCCATGTAGAATCCGAACGCGTCGAATCCGTGTCGAATCCGTGTCGAACCTGTGTCGAATCTGTGTCGGTCCACGTCGAATTCACAGACATTCCGCGTCGAATCCACGTCGGAGTACAAGGGAAGACCGCCATTTACAGGACAGGAAGGGTCCCCCGAAGATGCAAAGTAATTTCCCCCTCCTGAGGTATGGGCACTCGGCGGCGAGCCCAGGGGGGGTGCAGAGGGGGAGGGGGCGGACCTTTTCGGGGGACTCGGGAGACCTCTGGCCTTCTGAGAAGTTCTGTGACTACCGACCAGACCACCCGAACCAAACTCGAAGATCCACATTTCGGGTTGGGGGGTAAGGGTTCCACATGCGCCTTTTCAATGTTCCCCGACACCCCTCCACTGGAGATGGAGGGCAAATTGGAGCGTTCGGGCTGGGCTGGGGTGGCCTGGTGGGCGGTGCTTCTCTCAGCCTCCAAAGACGAGGCCGGAGGGCCTCTGAGAGGCCCCGCAGCCTCCCGATCGGACACGCTCTGACATGGACACGGGATGCGTGGAGCTGGCGCGTTGGCGCGCAGATCCACGGATCGGGGAAGGCAGCCCCGAAACCTGAGGCCAGTGCCGCCTGATTCGGCGGCGGAGCGAGCCGATTTGGCACGAAAACTGGGCCCGTCGCCAATCCGTGCCGCCTCGACCCCTGCTTGCGCTTCCTCAAGAGAAGGCCTGCCCCCTCCTGGCGGTGCGCACACGGTGGTGGGGGGAGGGGGAGAAGGCTTCTCAGAAGGAGGCCGCTTCTCAAAGGCGCCAGCCCCACATCTGTAGATGAGGTCCGCGCCTTCTAAGAAGCAATGGTTTTTCTAAGAAGCCTCCCCCCTCCCCGATACTCACCTCCTCGCGTCGGACCCCTCCTGGGGTGCGTTCTGACCAGAACTTGGAGGCGAATCCAGCGGTGGCGACGAGGGCATCCCTGGAGGCGCAAAAGGGCGACAACGAGGCAAGTGCAGCAATATCGGTACCTTTTCCTCCTCCGACCCCTATTCATTTCCCCCTCTCGGGCGCCGCGGCCATCTCAGAGTGTTCCAAAACGCTCTGAGAGCGTTCCAGAACGCTCTGGACTGGATTTGTCCTCGTCCCAGCCCCGTCCGACCCATACCCCCCTCTGCGCGTTCGAAGGCGACGATGGGGGCGAATAGCCAAGGGACGGGCATTACACACATGCGCCCGGGAGACTCCCCGAAGACATGGACCATCGGCGCCCCTGGACCCCATGGGCTATTCGCCCCATATCGTCGCCTCCGACGCGTGGCCTGCCCCCTCCTCACTTCCCTCCGCCGGGCGGGCGCCGCCGAAGTCCGCACGCGCCTCATGGGGGGGGGAGCAGGTGTGGGGGGGGGGGGGCGCGGCTCCGCGGCCGAGGCCTTGCGCCTTCTCAGGAGCAGGGGTGCTTCCAAGAAGCCCTCCCCCCTCCCCCAAAATTAAGTCGGGCCTGTCCCCCTATAGGAGGATTTTGGGCGAAAAATAAAAATAAACGAAAAATGCCCTAAAATACTCAAAAATGGTCCAAAAATCGTCCCCAGACTACTTTTCTACTATGTTTTAATACTCCTCCTGTAAAGGGACAAGCCCGACTTAACCCAAAAAAACCCTCTGCGCGCTCACCTGCGCTCCCCTCGCTCCTCTGCGCCCTCCAGAACCCCCCGCCCCGTGGCATGCGCCCTCCAGGCCCACCCCCCTCTGCGCGTGGCCTGCGCGTGGCCTGCGCCCTCCTCTGCGCGCGACCTGTGCGTGACCCGCGCCCCCCCCTCGCTCCTCCCCGGAGGAGGGAGGAGGGAAGAGGGAGGAGGGAGGAGGGAGGAGGGAGGAGGGAGGAGGGAGGAGGGAGGAGGAGAGGAGGAGGGAGGAGGAGGAGGAGGAGGGAGGAGGGAGGGGAGGAGAGGAGGAGAGGAGGAGAGAGGAGAGGAGGAGGAGAGGAGGAGGAGGAGGAGGAGGAGGAGCGGCGGGCGCCGCCAGGGTCAGCACGCGCCCCGTGGGGGCGGGGGGGGGCGGAGGGGGGGGGCCGGCTCCGCGGCCGAGGCCCCGCGGACGGCGACGCCCACGGCCCACGGCTCCACGTCCTCCTCGGCCCGCGGCAGGGGGCGGGCGGCAGGGCCCGAGGGGGCCACCAGCGGAGGGGGGGGGGACGACCCGGGGGTGCTCGCGCCGCGAGAAGATCGGGACGGCAGAGCAAAAAAATCAGGACGGGAGACGTGCTGTCGGTGTGGCCCCCCGGGGGGGCCTTGCTGGATCTCGGCACCGCCAGACAAGGACTCGGGATGAAAAGCTGGTCCCGGGCAGAAAAGGGTCGGGACTTCTGGGGACCACGTACTAAAACAATGAGGACGTCGCATGTCTGACTCATGAGGCACCGTCGGGGAGGGGGGGGCTGGCTCATGAGGGGCACCGTCGGGAGGGGGGGGGCTGGCTCATGAGGGGCACCGTCAGGAGGGGGGGGGCGCATCGACCCCCAATCGCCCACTCATGGCCGGCACGGGACCGACAGCCCCACCACGCCCAGGAGCGTGCGGAGATGCAGTCGGGTGCCCATCGCCGATCTATCGGCGATGCATCGCCGACTCCGGGTCGAGGTTTCCCCCCCCCTGGGCCAGCCCCCCCTGACGTTCCCCCTGGCGGTGTACCGCCGACTCCAGGTCGAGGTTCCCCCCCCCCTTGAGCTGGTCCTCCTCCTCCTCCTTTTGAGAAGCCCCGCCGCCTTTTGATAAGGCCTTCTCGTTCTCACCCCCCCTCCAGAAGAGGTGGAGGACAAGGAGGAGGAGGAGGAGGAGGAGGAGGAGGAGGACGAGGACGAGGAGGAGGAGGAGGAGGAGGACGAGGACGAGGACGAGGAGGAGGAGGAGGAGGAGGAGGAGGAGGAGGACGAGGACGAGGAGGAGGAGGAGGAGAGGGGGGGGCGGGAACCTTGCCTTGGGAATCGGCGGTAGCCTCAGGCTGCCCTCAGCCTGCATCAGCATCAGCCTCAGCCTCAGCCTGCCTCAGCATCAGCCCTCGGCATGCCTCAGCCTGCCTCAGCCTCAGCCTCAGCCTGCTTCAGCCTCAGCCTCAACCTGCCTTCAGCCTCGGCCTCAGCCTTAGCCTGCCTCAGCCTCAGCCTGCATCAGCCTCAGCCTCAGCCTCAGCCTGCCTCAGCATCAGCCTGCCTCAGCCTCAGCCTCAGCCTGCCTCAGCCTCAGCCTCAGCTTGCTTCAGCCTCAGCCTCAGTCTGCCTTCCGCCTCGGCCTCAGCCTCAGGCTCGGCCTCAGCCTCAGCCTGCATCAGCCTCAGCCTCAGCCTCAGCCTGCCTCAGCATCAGCCTGCCTCAGCCTCAGCCTCAGCCTGCCTCAGCCTCAGCCTCAGCCTCAGCCTGCTTCAGCCTCAGCCTCAGTCTGCCTTCAGCCTCGGCCTCAGCCTCAGCCTGCCTCAGCCTCAGCCTGCATCAGCCTCAGCCTCAGCCTCAGCCTGCCTCAGCATCAGCCTGCCTCAGCCTCAGCCTCAGCCTGCCTCAGCCTCAGCCTCAGTCTGCTTCTGCCTCAGCCTCAGTCTGCCTTCAGCCTCGGCCTCAGCCTCAGCCTGCCTCAGCCTCAGCCTGCCTCAGCCTCAGCATCAGCCTGCCTCAGAATTAAAAATGTCGCCCGGGAATGGAGTTCTGGGAACTCGAAGAACACAAAGTGGCCTACAGTTGGCTCCGGGCATTCAAAATGTGGCCCGGGACTGGAGTTCTGGGAACTCGAACTTAAGTGGCCTGCAGTTGGCTCCGGGCATTCAAAATGTGGCCCGGGAATGGAGTTCTGGGAACTCGAAGACCACGAAGTGGCCTACAGTTGGCTCCGGACATTCAAAATGTGGCCCGGGAATGGAGTTCTGGGACCTCGAAGACCACGAAGTGTGTAACTGTTGGCAAAAAGAAAATCCCCAGCACCCTCCCTCGGATCGCGCCCAGACCCCCCTGGGGGGGGGCGTCATGATGCTCTCTTTTGACCCTACTAGAAACCTATCAGTCTTCGCTGTTTGGAAATTAATAATAAGAACGGCAATTATTCCCCAATCAGAGCTTGCCTCTGTAGGGGTCCTAGCGGATTCATCTGGTTAGGTTAGGTTTGCCGCCGATTTTCGCTGCACGCCCGGGTGCCCGAGGGTGCCCAGGGGTGAGGTTGGCCGCCGATTTTCGCTGCACGCCAGGGTGCCCAGGGGGTGCCCGGGGGTGCCCAGGTGCCCGGGTGCCCGGGTGCCCGGGTGCCCGGGCGTGCCCGGGCGTGCCTGGGCGTGCCCGGGGTGCCCGGGGGTGCCCGGGGGTGCCCGGGGGTGCCCGGGGGTGCCCGGGGGTGCCCGGGGGTGCCCGATAGCCCGATAGCCCAATAGCCCAATAGCCCTGTAGCCCTACAACTCTATAGCCCTATAGCTCAATAGCCCTATAGCCCTATAGCCCCCTAGTCCTATAGTCCTGATTAGGATTTTTTCTCCGGTATCATGGATAAAATCTAAACTCATAATGATAGCAATAAAAATACGTAGACCAGTGCGTACAAATGATAAAAATGATAATACGAATCAAAATAATAAAAACAGCAATAATAATAGTAATAATGATAATGATAATGATGATGATGCTGATGATGATGATGATGATGATGATGCTGATGATGCTAATAATAATAATAATGATACTAACAATAATAAGAATACTAATAACAGCACTAATAGCAATAATAATAATCTGGATAACAAAATATAAGAATAACAAATAATAGTACTAATAATAATGAATGAAGGTAATGCTAATAAAAACTAAGCGCTAAAAAAAACAAGACTGATGATAAGACTGACAATAACGAAAACACTCATCATAACAATAATATATATATATATATAAATAACTAAACAACTAAACACAAACAATAAAGACCATGAGAAGATGAATAATCATTCCAGTGCCAAGAAAAATAACCAAACGAATGCTGGACCAGTTCCTCCCCCCCGTCGTTGCCCCTAAACCTGACCTAATGGGCTCAAGAGGTTGACTTCGACCTAGGATCCACGATACATCACCGATGGATCGACGGTAGGCCCCCGATGGCGGATCCACACGCTCCTCGGCGGGGGGCGGGAGCTCTCGGGCCCCCGTCGGCGAGAATGAGCGCCTTGGGGGGGCGATGCATCACCCCCTGAACATTCCTCCCCCCACTGTGCTGGCCGCGCGCACAGGGGGGGCAGGGGAGGGGGGGGTAAAGGCTTCTCGGGAAGAGAGGCCGCTTCTTGGGAGGCGCCGGCCCTGCATCTGCACCTGCCGCAACGGGTCCGTGGATCTGGCGCGCACGGATCGGGGAAGGCAGCCCCGAACCCTGAGGCCAGTGCCGCCTGATTCGGCGGCGGAGCGAGCCGATTCGGCACGGAAACTGGGCCCGTCGCCCGTCGCTAATCCGTGCCGCCTTGACCCATGCTCGCGCTTCCTCGAGAGAAGGCCTGCCCCCTGTTGGCGGTGCGCACATGGGGGTAGGGGGAGGGGGAGAAGGCCTCTCAGAAGGAGGCCGCTTCTTAGAAGGCGCCGGCCCTGCATCTGCTCAAGAGGCCCGCGCCTTCTTAGAAGCAGTGGTGCTTCTAAGAAGCCTCCCCCCTCCCTCATACCGCCCTCTGCGCGTAGCTGACATATGCCGGACTTCTCCAGGGTGCGTTCTGAACTTGCAGGCGAATCCAGCGAGGCGACGGGGGCCTCCCTGAAGGCGCAAAAGGGCGACAACGAGGCAAGTGTAGCGGTATCAGCACCTTTTTCTCCTCTGACGCCTACCCAATGTAAGAAGCAGCCTCCTTCTGAGAAGCCTTCCCCCCCTATCTCTACCCCCCGTCGCGCGCGCAGCCGAACGCTGCCCCCGAGAACCAGGGGGCCGAGAGGGGCGGGCGGACGGACGACGGGGAGGCCAGCGCGACGGGCCGCGAAGGCGGCGAGCGGGGGCTCCGGGGCTGCGCAGCAGGCACCCGTACAGGGAGGGAGAAGGGCGAGGAGGAGGAGGCGGAGGAGGAGGAGGACGACGAGGACGAGGACGAGAAGGAGGAGGACGACGAGGAGGAGGAGGAGGACGAGGAGGACGAGGAGGAGGAGGAGGAGGAGGAAGAGGAGGAGGAGGAGGAGGAGGAGGAGGGGAAGGAGGAGGAGGAGGAGGACGAAGAGGAGGAGGAGGAGGAGGAGGAGGAGGAGGAGGAGGAGGGGAAGGAGGAGGAGGAGGAGGAGGAGGAGGAGGAGGAGGAGGGGCGCTCCTCTTCCCCCGCTCTGGTTGGGCAAGCCAGAATGAGAATCGTTGCACCGCCCCCTTACCCCCATGAAAGGGCCTGGGCCCCACTGGCCGACTTGCCCCCCCCTAAATGGGGAGATGTTCCGTTTCCTTCGGATGTGGGCCGTTTCATTCGGGCTACGAGAGGCATATCCCAAACTGGAGTGCTGAGATGGTGGGAGTCTGGATAGGGGTGGTGATGGGCATAGGGGGTCAGTTAAACAATACTGATTGGCGTCCCCCTCCCTGGTTGGGCAAGCCAGAATAGAGAGCAGAACAAAAACACGATCAGAATGAGAATCCCGACAAAAGAAGCAATTTCGTAAACGCGCCCAAGGAAGGAGACGAACAGGGCAGGGCTGTTACATAAGGGGCCAAGGCCGCTTAGCAAACGCCGATTACAGGGGTCGGGGTGTATTTGTTCCTCCCCTCGGCAGAAGGGGCGGGCGGCTTGGCGTGCCCCGCGTGGTGGCTGTTCCTCCCCCTCGACAAGAAAGGGGGGGGGCTTGGCATGCACCAGCGCGGGAAAGGTACAACACCGACGCCACGGAAAGCCGCCCACCGACAAAGGAAGCGGAACGTCACCAGGACACCTGGAGGGCAGGAAAGCCCAGAATCGAATCGACGAGTCGGATCGGCGATGGAAACAAATCGGATCGGCGGAAATCGGCAGCCGAATGGGGAGAAGTCGAACGGTCGGAAATCGGCAGGCCAGTATGCCTCCAAGTGCACGGTTTCCCCCCCCCGGCCGTAGGCGACCCGAGGAGGAGGAGGGGGAGGAGGAGGAGGACGAGGACGAGGAGGAGGATGCGGAGGACGAGGAGGAGCAGGAGGAGGAGGAGGAGGAGGAGGAGGAGGAGGAGGAGGAGGAGGAGGAGGAGGAGGAGGAGGAGGAGGACGGGTCGCCTGAACCCTTCGGGGAAAACATACATCCACCTCCAAGGAGACATCGGGATTCGAATCGGAATCCGAGGTCGAGTCGGACCAGAATCGGAAGCGAAAGCCATCGAGGCCGGACCGAACCGGAAGCAGAGGAACCGAGACGAGCCCTTCCGAGTGCGCCGCGGCGGGCAGGCAGCGAGCGCCGCCAGCGCGCCGCCAGGGGGGGGGGCCCTCGCCAGGTCCCGGCGTGTGGGGCGGGGGGCCGGGCCAGGGCCTCTCGCGCGGCGGGTCTGGGGCGGGCCAGGAGAAGCAGGCGATCGGAGGCCCAGGGGCGCCAAAATCCCAGGACTCCCCCCCACTTTCTCCCAGGTTCCTGATGTTCGCCGTCCCCTCTCACTTCCCGTGCTTCCCAGAATCTGCTCCTGGGAGTCGACGATTGCTCGTGTCTGTCTGCGTGTGTGTTTTCGTCCCCTCCTGGGAAAAGGAAGCAGGGGGGGGGGCAGGAGCTCTGCGCAGCGGCAGCGCAGCGCTTCGAACAGCGGCGCATCAGACCACATCGGAAGCGGATCGGATCGAGTCCGAGCCGGCGCGGAATCGGCTCGGAATTGGGCTGCCTGGGATCGCAGGCTGGGATCGGCCCCCGAAGGCCGGAGAGGGACCCGGTCGGTGCTGGATGGGACCGGATCGAGATCGGAATCGAGGCTCGGGGATCGGATCGGATCGGATCCCATCGGATCGCGAGCAGCCCTGACGGCTCCTCCAACCCGATCCCATCCTGGCTTGGCCAGACTGGCGCAGATGCAGTCGGCCCGTGTCACCAGGATGCGCGATAATGATGCAGGGGCCTTGCACAAATTCGCTGAGCACCCCGCTCACCCGTAGCTGGGTTGCGTATGCAAACACAGCGTTGGGTGCGCGCCGAAGCCTGCGCCGCGCCGAGAGGGCGCGGGCGCCACGAGGCCTCGGTGCTGGTCGCAGCACGACCCAGCAACGGGCGAGAAACGGGGCGGGCACGGGTGGGTCAAATCCCGAGCGCGGGGCGCGCGCCCCAGGCACACACAAACCTGTGGTACCTGCGCGCGGCCGCGGCGGGCAGCGGCCGCGCGCGGGGGCGCGCGGGCCTGCCCACATCGCCTGCGGCGCGCCGCGGCGCGCGCGAGCCAAGCGGCGGCGCGGCGACTGCTCGCGCCTGCGTCCGCCGCGTGCGCCTGGGGCCAGCGAGTGTGTGCGATGGAACCAGGGGCCGAACTCGTTCCATACACATACAGACGCCCACGTCGAAGCTTCTCGAGGGGGGCGCGGCCGACGAAAGTGGCCAAGGATGGACCGAAGAGGCAAGGATGCAAGGGTACCCTTGGCAAGATTGCCCATTCTTACTATGCGGGTTGACTGCACACCGATCCTGGGCGGCGCGATCTAAGGGGGCAGGGGGAAGAGGTGAAGGCTTCTCTTGGAAGAAGGCTGCTTCTTGGAAGGCGCGGGCCTCAATCTATTGATGAGGCCCGCGCCTTCAGAGAAGCAGGGGTGCTTCTGAGAAGCCTTCACCCCTCCCCCATACCCCCCCTCCGCGCGTGGCTGACAGTCCCTCTGCCTATCCCCCCCCCGTCGTTGCCCCTGACTCTCCCTCCTCTGCTGAAGGGGCCCTGGGCCCCCCACTTCTCATATTTTCCCATGAGCCGGCCCTGGGACGCACAAATGCATAGACACAAATCCCAGGATCCCCCCATTTTCCTACATTTTCCTGGGGATCGGCGAGAGTCGTACGTCAGGGGCATGGCAGCGCCCGCGTCCTCCACCTCCGCCGCGTGCCGCGAGGAGCCGCCGTCGGACGACCCGCCGCCGCCCAGCACGATCTCCTCCTGATGACGGGCGGGCGGTCGCTCAGCCCCCCGGGGGACCTCCTCCACCTCCTCCTCCTCCCTCCCCTCCTCCCCTCCTCCTCCTCCTCCTCCTCCTCCTCCTCCCTCCTCCTCCTCCTCCTCCTCCTCCTCCTCCTCCTCCTCCTCCTCCTCCTCCTCCTCCTCCTCCTCCGCCGCCGCCGCCCGCCGCCGCCGCCGCCGCCGCCTCCTCTTCCTCTCCCCCGTTTCGCTGCCAGCCGGAAAGGAGGGGTTCTAATATTGGAGAGGGCGCGTTTCACGGGCGCTTGCCTTGGGAACATTCGGCGGCGCGTTTTGAAACGGGGGGCGGGCCCCCTCCCCCCCAAACCCCACCTCCCGAAGCCCCCCCCGCCCTGCCAATGGGGGGGGGTCGGTTTCAACTCACCCCCCCTAGCGGGCGGGTGGCGGGTACTGTGCGGGGGGGCGGGCACCCCCACCGGGGCTTTCGGTGGAGTTCCTCATGGGGTCACGAAACGCTGTACTGGGTGGGGGGGGCGCACGCGGGCACCCCAACTGGGGCCGTCGATGGAACTCCCATTATGGGGCCACGAAACGCTGTACTGAGTGTGGGGGACGGATGCGGGCACCCCCCACTAGAGCCTTTCGGTGGAGCTCCCTACAGGGCCACGAAGCACTGCAATGGATGAGGGGGCGCGTGCGGGCACCTCCCACTGGGGCCCCCAGGGGCCACGAAGCGCTGTATTGGGTGGGGCGGACACATGCGGGTACCTCCACTGGGGCCTTCGATGGAGCCAGCTCCCTTTGGAACCACGAAACGCTGTACTGGATGGGGGGAACGCATGCGGGCACCCCCGCTGGGGCCTTCGGTGGAGCTCCCTACGGGGCCACGAAGCGCTCCAATGGATGGCGGGGGGCGCACGCGGGCACCCCCAGTGGGGTTTTCGGCGGAGCTCCCTATGGGGCCACGAAACATGCGAGGGGTGTGCCGAAATAGAAACACGCAGAGGGCAGATACACTGAGGCGGAGGAGAGGAGGGAGGGGGCAGCGGGAGGAGGAGTGGGACGCGGGGCGCGTCGTTTCAAAAAGAAGACCTAACACCACAGGATAGTTGGGATAAACACACGGTTTCGCAACATTAACTCCCAAAATTAGCTTGGCGAAGGACCGCAATTGTGAATATCCTCTTCGGTGGCGTTCCCTATGGGGCCAGGAAAAGCTGTACTGGCTGGGTGAAACGCAGGGTGCAAGCACGCGGGCGGTGCCACTGGGACCTTCGGTGGAGTTCCCTATGGGGCCACGAAACGCTGTACTGGGTGGGTGAAACGCAAAGGAGCAGAAGCTGTGCTGGGTGGTGGCGGACGCATGCAGGCGGTCCCACCGGGACCTTCGGTGGAGCTCCCTTCTTATGGGGCCACGAAATGCTGTAGTAGGTGGGTGAAACGCAGGGAGCAAGGGCTGTGTTGGGTGGTGGCAGACGCATGCGGGCGGTGCCACATGGACCTTCGGTGGAGCTCCCTATGGGGCCACGAAACGCTGTGGTGGGTGGGTGAAACTCATGGAAGGAGGAGGAGGAGGAGGAGGAGGAGGAGGAGGAGGAGGAGGAGGAGGAGGAGGAGGGAACGGAGGAGGGGGAGGAGGAGGAGAAGAGGAAAGGAACACGGGGACCGTCTCTTCAAAACAAGGACCCAACACCACAGGATGGTTGGAAAAATGCGCCCGCGCTCTTGCGAATTATTGAAATAAAACGAGGGGGTCGCAACATCAGTGTTTACTGGATAAAGATATATATATATATATATATATATATATATATTGCGTTCGCGCTTGTGCGCCTGTTTTACCTCCCGCGCCGCATGCCGAAATCATTCGACTGCACTTTGCGCGCGTGGTGGAGGGGGCGCGATTCGTGTCAAATACCACGCGGGCCACTCTAGCGCGTCGGCCGCGCGCGCACGTCGAACTCCTTCCAAAACCATCATCACCGACGCGAAGACGCCGTCATCGTCGCCGGCGTGATCAACATCGGCGCCGTCACTTGCCATGCCGCCGCCGCTGTCATCATCGTCACCAGCACCGACCGATACTATCATCATCGTGTTTACTGTTGTCGACGTTGCCATGCTACCGCGCCCACCCAAGTCGCTGGGATGAGCCCACAGTTCAGCGCCACAGGGCCGCGTCGGTCGCGACAAACTAGCTGGCCGCTGCGCGCGCGGGCATGCGCGAGCACGCGCGGCCGCAGAAGTGTACCAGCCAACACCAAGCACTCATCGCAATCGCCGCCACATGGGTTTTGCAAACCAATTTGCGGGTGGGTGGGTGGGATGATTGCGCGAGCACTGGAATTGACAACTCACTGCGAACAGAATTCAATTGCACCACAAAAATTGCCCCACATAGGTTACATCACATAACTTACACAACGTAGAGTGCACGACACAGATGTCACTGCGTAGATTGCACCACCCGAATTGCAGCACACATTTGGCACCACATAGAGCGCAACACATCAACGAGTCCGAGAACACACATGCTGACAAACATATCTTGTTCTTTCTCTGACCGAACTAAGTCCTGGAAGGGATCTAGGCGCTCCTAGAACGAGTGAAGAGGTAGCCGTTGCCGATGCACACGCGCGAGTAAATGCGAGGGAGATCTCAGGCGGGAGCGCCATGCCGGATGCCTGAGGAAACGTATGAGACGTTTCGAGCCAGAGCGCGGCTCCAGAGTGCGAGGGCATCCCTGGCAAGGGCACCTCAGGGATGCGGAAGCGAGAGGAGGAGAAAGCGAACGCAGCCTGGGGCCTGTGGCGGGCAGCCCCTCGGGCCAGCCTGGTGGGCGAGGAAGAGCAACAGCAGAAGCAACGATGAGACTGTATGAAGCCATCAGCTGGATCCAACACCTCGAGAGCGCACCCCGCACAGCAAAAGCTCATGTTCGCAGGACCACGCCAACCGCCCGCGTGCCGCCCGCCCGCGCGAACCCCCCGCGCCGCCCGCGCCGCACCCGCGAAGCCCCCGCGCCGCCCGCCCCCGCTGGCCGCCCGCGCGCTCTTGACGTTGCTCGGACCTGACGCACAGGCTTGCGGCGTTAACGCAAGAGAGACACGGTCGCCGATCGAGGCGAAGAAGCATACAACTGAGGCTGCAGTGGCGGGCGCCGCGGGGACAGACGTGCGAGAAAGATTGGGGGCAGATAGAGGCCCTCACGTCGCCCGCGCGTTCCTCCTCCTCCCGCTCCGCCTGCGCCACGCGCTGCTCGAAGCCCCGGCGGTCGGAGCACGCCTGCGGTCGGGGCCCCGCGGGCGCGCGCACGCGCGGGAAGCGGCGCGAGGGGGGGCGGCCTCTACGGCCAGGCCTCTCGAGGGCTCTCCTGGGAGGCCTCCCTGTAGCGGCGCGCACAAGGGGGGGGGGGGGCAGGGGGAGGGGGGAAGGCTTCTTAAAGGAGGCTGCCTCTTGGAAGGCGCGGGCTTCACCATCTACGGACGAGGCCGCCCCTCTAAGACGCAGCGGTGCTTCTAAAAGCCTTCCCCCCCCCCCCTCCCCTTAGAAAGTCCAGGGTTCGCTACGGACTGGTTTCCTTCCCAACCAGCCAAACCCCTAACGAAACCCTCCGAAAACCATCCTGGAAGGGTTCCTGGAGGCTTTTCGGAAAGTTTCGGGATGGTTTTGGAAAAGGTCTTCGTCGTTTTGAAGGGAAACTAGTCCCCAGCTAATCCTGGGTTCTCTTCCCATACACACCCCTGCGCGTTGCCGTTCTCTGGAGGCCTCTTCGAGTCTCTCCCTCTCTCCTCTCTCTCTCTCTCTCTCCCTCTCTCTTTCTCTCTCTTCCTCTCTCTTTATTTCTCTCTCTCTCTTTCTCTCTCTCTTTCTCTCTCTCTCTCTCTCTCTCTCTCTCTCTCTCTCTCTCTCTCTCTCTCTCTCTCTCTCTCTCTCTATATATATATATATATATATATATATGTGTGTTTCTCTCTCTCTCTCTCTCTCTCTTTCTCTTCGAGGTCATCCTTCCTCTCTCTCTTTCTCCCTCTCTCTCTTTCTCTCCATGGGGGCCTCTCGGTTCTCGAAAAGGGGCAATGCGCAGCGCGCGTGGCCCGCGAACCACCAGGGGCAGTGGCGGCGGGGACTCGGGGACACCCCAAATCGGCGGCGAGCGAGGGGGGGAACTGAGAAGGGGCGGGCCTTTTCAGAAGGCTCGGAAGTCCCACCGCCTTCTAAGCAGAGTTCTAAGCAGTGTCCGAAGACACAGAAAACTTCTCAGCAGGCGCGAGGGTTTCTGAAAATCCCGCCGCCTTCTGAGAAGGCCTTTTCCTTTTCGTTTCCCCCCCCCCTCGCTCGCCGCCGGCCGCCTCTAGGCAAGCGCGCCCCACTTTTCGCAGAGTAACTGCTCGCAGGCGGCCCAGATCCGCCGCGCGGGATCTGCGATCAGATGCATCGAGAGGAGGAGGAGGAGGAGGAGGAGGAGGAGGAGGAGGAGGAGGAGGAGGAGGAGGAGGAGTGAGCAGGCGTGGGAGGAGGAGGAGGAGGAGGAGGCAGACATTGTGCTCTTCCGGGCGTCTGCGAGGAGGCACTGCGCAAGCAGTGGCAAGCGCTCTCGAGGAGCCTCCCTTTTTTTTTTCTGCTGGCCACGCCAAGAGCCACACGGGGGCGGCGCTGCGGCGCGAGGGGGCCGAAAAAAGGGGGCAGGAATGAAGGGGTACCCCGGCAAGGTCCCGGCAAGGTCCCGGCAAGGTCCCGGCAGACTCCCAGCAAGGTCCCGGCAGACTCCCGGCAGACTCCCGGCAGACTCCCGGCAAGGTCCTTTTTCGGAGCCCAGGAGGGCTCCAAACGGTCCAAGAGAGGCCCGAGAAGCCCTCCAGACGGTCGAAGAGAGCCGGGAGACGCCGAAATATCACTCCCAAGCGCCTACGATGGCCTCAAGACGGCCCAACAGGCCTTCAAGACGCCCCAAGAGGTCCCTAAGCGGCGTCCCAAGAGGGCTCCCACAAGCAAAAATCGTCCCATTCCCTTGGGGAAACGTGCATTTTTAACATGTGCGCCTCTTCGTTTTTCACACCTTTCAAGGCGGTCCAAGAGGCCCCCAAGATCACCCCAAGACGGCCCGAGAGACCCTCAAGACGGTTCCACAACGGCCCAAGAGCGTTCCAAGAAAGCCCCAGAAACCCTCAAGACGATCCAAGAGGCCCCAAGACGGCCCCAAGACGGCCCCATGATTGAGGTCCACAGGGGCAACATGAACGGAAATGTTGAACCCCCCGCCCAAACACGCCCCCGAAAGGCCCCTACAAGCCCCCAAGTAGCCCCACGAAGCCCCCAAGAGAGCCCCAAGAGGCCCTCAACAGGCCGCAAGAAAGCCCCAAGAGGCCCCCAAGAGACCCCAGGAAGCTCCCAGGAGGCCCCCAAGAGGCCAGGCAGACCCCCCAAGAGACCACCAAGAGGGCCCACCCAGAGCCATCCACGAGGCCTCCCAAAGTTCCCAAGAAGCTCCCACGAAGCTTCCAAGGGCTCCCAAGACCCCACGAGGCCTCCAAGAGCTCCCAAGAAGTTCCCCAGAAGCCTCCACGGGCTCCCAAGAGGGTCACAAGTACTCCTCCTGAGAAGCTCCTTAATGTGGGACGCACATGGACATACTAGTACTGCACGTCATCCCGGGAAGCGCGCGTCCGACCCGAACATATAGTATACCCATCTTGTAGTATATCGTTTCCCGAGCGGTGTGGCCAGAAAGCGCCCGCCACGACGCATACACTATAAGATTTCTCGGCGCGCGCGTCGCCCCTGGGGGGGCGACGCACATATAGTATAAGTATGTTGGGGCGTCGCCGATAATGCTCCCGGAAGAGACTCCCAGAAGCATCCATGAGCTCTTTGGGATGCCCCCTCCCCAGATCCCCAACACTCAGTTTTTCTCGCGCCCCTCACCCTTGGATCCTTCACTGCGTTTTCCTCCAATTGCGATTGGATGAGGATGAGCTTGGGATGGTCCTGGAAATGTGCGGGGAGCTCTGGAGGTCAGCGTGAATTATGAGAGGTGGTCGGTTGCGTGTCTTCTGTAAACACAACCAAGAATATGAATAATGGAAAGGCCGCACATACATCACCGATTCCCAAACGGCCCACACGCGTATGCATTCGGCAACGTGTACGATGTGGGATGTCAAGCACGACTGGCCCCATCCTCCTCGAAGTGGGCGCCCTCATCATCCTCCGCCTCCACCTCCTTCTATCCGTCCCTCCCTCCCTCATATCCCTGCCCCACCTCCCTTTCCTCCATTTTCTCCTCTTCCTCCTCATATTTCCTCCCAAAGTGGCGCGGGACGGACCCCAGGCGAACCCTCAGGAACCCCGACAACACACAGGAATCCCTGCAAAGCTCCGAGGAGGAGGAGGAGGAGGAGGAGGAGGAGGAGGAGGAGGAGTGAACATCCAAGAAGCCTCTGACCTACAACCCAGGCACGGTGGCGGAATGGGCCGAAAACCACTAGATCCGCCGCCCCCTGCTTGCAGGGGTGCACGGCGTGCTGGACGAGCTGTTAGGTTTTGGTTTTGGTTCTTTTTCCAAAAGAACTCCCCAGTGGGCTCCGGCAGAACCCGCCACCGTGCGCAAAAACGGCCGTTTCGCTCGGGACATCCTCAACAAATCGCGAAGATGGCCCAAGATGGCCTCCAAGTCCGCCCGAGATGGTCCAAGACGGCCTCCAAAACGGCCCAAGAGAGTCCAAGACGGCCCAAGACGGCCCAAGAGGCCCCCCAGAGGCCTCCCAGACGGCCCAAGAGGCCTCCAAGAGGTCCTCCAGGAGAGTCCGAAGAGGCCAAAATCATTGATTTTCCCTTGGTTTTTGAAGGATTTTGGCATTTGCGCCTTTTCGGCTCTCCGACGGCTCAAGACGGCCCAAGAAGCCCCCAAGATCGCCCAAGAGGCCCCCAAGAGAGCCCCATGATGGCCCAAGTGGCCTCCAAGATGGCCCCTAGAGGGCCCCAAGAGGGCCCAAGAGGCCTCCAACACGCCCAAGATGGCCTCCAAGACGCCCAAGATGGCCTCCAAGACGGCCCTGGAGCGCCCCAAGAGGGTCCCCCGTTGGCCCAGACAGGCCCCCAAAACGGCTCCCGACGGCGTCAGACGTGCCAGGAACCCACCAAGATGGCCGAAGTTGGCTCGAAGCTGGCCCAAAAGGGCCCAAGAGGCCCCCAAGAGGGCCTCCAGGAAGGCCAAAAGATGCCAAAATCACTGATTTTCCCAAGGTTTTTGATGGATTTGGGCATTTCCCTTCTTTCGGCCTTCCGACGGCCCGAGACGGCCCAAGAGCCCCCAAAGATCGCCGAAAGATCGCCCAAGAGGCCTCCAAGACGACGACGATGACCATCAAGACGCCCACGTGTTCCCCGAAGGCTTTCCAAACCGATTCGGGGAACACATGGTCCGATGGCTTGGCAGGTCTGGCCTCAACGTTCGGCCACATAGGCGCTTCCACAAAGGCAGGGGGCGGCGGTGATTCGCCGTAGGCGTCTTCGATCCGCCGCCCCCTGCTTGCAGGGGTGCACGGCGTGCTGGACGTTTCAGGTTTTGGTTTTGGTTCTTTTTCTAAAAGAACTCCCCAGTGGGCTTCGGCCCGTCCCGCCGGCCACCCGCAAGTTTCCGAAAATCCGTCTGTCAATGCCCAAAAACGGCCGTTTCGCTCGGGACATCCTCAAAAAATCGCGAAGATGGCCCAAGATGGCCTCCAAGTCCGCCCGAGATGGTCCAAGACGGCCTCCAAAACGGCCCAAGAGAGTCCAAGACGGCCCAAGACGGCCCAAGAGGCCCCCCAGAGGCCTCCCAGACGGCCCAAGAGGCCTCCAAGAGGTCCTCCAGGAGAGTCCGAAGAGGCCAAATCATTGATTTTCCTTTGGTTTTTGAAGGATTTTGGCATTTGCGCCTTTTCGGCTCTCCGACGGCTCAAGACGGCCCAAGAAGCCCCCAAGATCGCCCAAGAGGCCCCCAAGAGAGCCCCATGATGGCCCAAGTGGCCTCCAAGATGGCCCCTAGAGGGCCCCAAGAGGGCCCAAGAGGCCTCCAACACGCCCAAGATGGCCTCCCAGACGCCCAAGATGGCCTCCAAGACGGCCCTGGAGCATTCCAAGCGGGCCCCAAGTCGGCCCATAGAGGCCCCCCAAACGGCTTCCGACGGCTTCAGACGTGCCAGGAACCCACCAAGATGGCCGAAGTTGGCTCGAAGCTGGCCCGAGACGGCCCAAAAAGCCCCAAAGATCGCCCAAAGCTTGCCCAAGAGGCCTCCAAGACG